ATCTTGTCTTGGTAGTCCTTGCACAAACCTTCCCCAATTTGAACAACAAAACTGTAGAACTATATATGTAGAGATCCAATCTTGTGGAAGAAATGGATATTTATGCTGTTTTTCTGCTTAGAGGTTCTGCTTTTCAAAAAAATGGGTATATTATCATATGGTCAATAAAACAGAAAATTCCTGAACAGAAGTTTTCTTGTGTCATCAGATCATTCTGAAAAGGATAGACCATTTTAAACTTTTATATGTTGCCAATTTATACCTTGAGCTCTAAGTGGCTTAGACCATTTTATAGGAGAGATGTATCACGCTGTACCAAGGGAGGTGTTAGCTTTAACTTTTCTACTAAGTTGTTCCAAAGTTAAGTCCCTCCACCAAAAAGGCATGATTAAAGCTTAAGGTTAAGTATGTCTGTGATGGAGCTGCAAATTACAACTCCCTTGAAGATCTATGAATGTGGGGCACACTGTATACAGTAGATAAAGACAATCATGGAAGTAATGGGGTCCAGGCCATCTGAGATTTTACACAATTTATCAGCAGACTCTAGTTAAATCCCCCCATTGCCACTAATATAATGTGGCTATTCAAATCACCGTTGGGTTAATTAAACAGTGGACTAATCTTGCAGTAGTCATATCTGCAGAATTTTTGATATATACTCGCATGTGGAGACACTGCAGATAGAAATGTCTGATGACTTTGAACATGTGAAGCTGTGTGGTCTTGCTGGGTAGGAACCCTGAGTAGCAGTGACTTTTTAAGACTGTGGGCTGGAAGTTGAGATTTCTCTGAGCAGAGATGCCAACAATCAAAAGTTGTCCTTTGTCCTATCAAAAGAATTCAAACCCTTAGAAAGAGAGCATTTGCTTTATTTTGGAACCTGCAGTCTCTTCTAATAAATACAGTACAATTTTGGCTCTCTCAAAATCAATGGCGGCATCACTGCTAACGCTAGTGAAGTGGAGAGCTATTATCTTCATCTCAGTTGAAGTGATTTTGAGAATTGGAGACAGTGATTTGGGTTATTGGCCCGTTCAAGATTGATCCGAGATGGAAGAAGCTTAGAAATCCTTGGTTGTGGTCCTTGGCCAGCTAGTTCCCAGAAGGTTAAATTGTGCCAGATGTTCTGTGGTTATCTTCCAACTACTAGGTAGAAGGTCATCTGTGGAATGTAGCCTAGCTTCTGAAGATTCTCTTCCGCTTTTCATTGGAGGCTGTAACTGGAGTCTTGCCCTGTTCACATTTTAAAATAGCAATAAAGGACAGGCCAGGTTATCTCACCCCGTCTCTGTTGCTGTTGACAGGAAGAGCAGAAGCCCTAATGCAGCAGTCTTCCTTTTGCTTTCAGAAGTGCTCCCTATGCCATTGTCCAGGGGCAACCATTGGCTGTGATGTAAAAACCTGCCACAAGACGTATCACTATTATTGTGCATTGCATGATCAAGCACAAATCCGAGAGAAACCTTCGCAAGGCATATATATGTGAGTATGTCTCATTAAATTGAAGGGATCCAGCATTTTTTTTTAATGGTAGCTATCTTGGCTAAAGCCCCAGAATAGTTAAATAACTTGGTTTTCTCTTGTGTTCTCTTCCTAGGATATTATGTCGAAAACACAAGAAAGTACCACACAATTCTGAAGGTAAAGCTATCCACAGTTTGTGGTGGTTCTCATCTCTCTGGATCAAATGCTCAATTTTTTTCTCTCCATGAAAAGTGTTAAGAGTGGTTAGGAAAACAAGCATTTCTTTGTATCAGTTTAAAATTCCTTTCTAGAGTGTTCTTCCGCAAACCTTATGTTCTTGAGATATACTCAGCTATGGTTCCTATCAAACCCCAGCAACTGAGCGGATTGGGAGGGACCAGAACTGTAGTCAACCCATTTTATGAGGAATGGGTTGTGGAAGAGCGCTTGCAAGGAATGTTGAGAGATGAAAGATTAATTTGGGTTACTTTGACAATTTCTAATCTTTGGCTCAGATGCAAAGTAGGAAGTGAGCAGAGAGAGGGATATTGGCATTAGTAGCCCTCCCTCTAAATCAGGATGGATTATAATAAAAGTTTTTCCTTGATAATTGAAACCTTCTTCCGCGGATCCTTTGGTCTTTTTAATGGTGAAACAGAGCGGCTGTTTTGAGATGGGGCTGCTTTTTCCCCAAAATTTCTAATGTCTACAGGACTGGATCACAGGTCAAACCTTTCAAGTTGCTTGTCTTTGTGTTTGTACCTTTGCCCTCCCCCAGCAGATTTAGAAGAAGGTCTAAATGATCATGAGCTGGATCCGTCTCCTCCAAAAAAGAGGGGTCGCAAAGGAAGGCCCAGAAAGACGAGCCTTAAAGGGCAGTCGGAAGATGCTCGGTCAACATCTTCGCACGGCACAGATGATGTAGAAAGCAGTTCTTATGTAAGGAATTTGTGTGTTAAAATCCCTTCAAAGAAGTACCAGGCTTTCTCTTTCAGTTGCCTTCTCTAGAAATTGTATTTGTTTTTCTGGCATATTATTTTAGAAAAGTATTTTTCTTTCAGAGAGACAGATCACCCTACAGAAGCAGCCCCAATGATACAAAACCTAAATGTGGATTCTGTCATGCAGGTGAAGAAGAAAATGAAGCTCGAGGGAAGCTTCATATATTCAATGCCAAAAAGGCAGCAGCACATTACAAGTGCATGGTGAGAAACGGAATGGTGTCTTCCCTTTTTCTGGTTCACTGGGTAGTCCTAAATCAAACCTGGGCACTTTAAGACCCGTGGACTTCAACTCCCAGAGATCCTGAGCCAGGAGTTTCCAAATATTTCATCTCTCCCTGCTAGCCTCTGTCATTATTACACTAATCTTGAGTTAGAGCCTCATGATTCTAATTTATCAAAAAAATGTGGTTTTAAAATATGGCTTAGTGTTATGTGTAAATGCAGGCTGCTTGTCTGATTCGGTAGCAAGCAGGCTTTTTGGACACATGGCATTCAGCGTCTAACCGTCAGACCAAAGCCAAGAAGATTGAGAGGCACTCAAGAAAAGGTCCTCCAGTCTTGCATGGCATCTGGTTTATTGCCTCTGAATCTCGTGTTCCTGGCAGGCTTCTCTGGATCCCTTTCCCCAGTCAAGCCTTCTGGACTGAGAGTTGTCCCTAGTTTTTGTCTCAGCCAAGCTCCAGCTATGCTTCTGAAGCCTTATGTCTCTTTTTCTTCCCAGCTGTTCTCTTCTGGTACTGTGCAACTGACAACAACTTCCCGGGCAGAGTTTGGTGATTTTGATATTAAAACTGTACTTCAAGAAATCAAACGCGGAAAGAGAATGGTATGCTCTTTCAATTTGAAACTTGATGTTCCACCTCTGTTTTGTCTCATGCAGTGATCTGAGGGATGCATATAGGAGTCCCTTTTCTCTTTTTTCTCACGGTGAGCACATGACCAGAGTGGCCCAGTAACTGTGGCGGTTAGGCAGAAATTTTAATCTTGCTGTTATTCCTGTGCTGACCTATAACCTTCAGCTTGGAGGAAAGACTGCTGGAGCTCCCTTACTGTGACTGCCAATCTCTGCTTTTAAAACTTTTGAATCAGTAGTCTCTCCTACCAGAAGGAACTCTGAACATTGTTACTTCACGCAAACGTGCTTGTTTTGTCCTTTCCCACAAGATCTCTAGACTGGACACCCTGCATCTCGTACTTTTTGCATTTCAGTCATCAGGAAAAATAGCTGCTCAACTCTTATCAGAAAATTTTATTCGAATTGTAAGCTTTCCAAGAAGGAAATTAAATATGCCGCTGGCTTGCCAGCCCAGCCTTATTTCACCTCATCCTTCTTTCATTTCTCTCTTCATGACAGAAATGTACCCTCTGTAGTCAGTCTGGCGCTACAATTGGATGTGAAATTAAAGCTTGTATCAAGACTTACCATTACCATTGTGGAGTGCAGGACAAAGCAAAATACATTGAAAACATGTCACGGGGCATTTACAAGTGAGTTGTACCTCTCTTTGTTCATTTGATTGCGTGTAGCTACATTATTCGTTCTTCAAAAAACTGTAAACCTAGGACATTGGTAAAAACTAATGGTGCATTGAATCGGCTGAAGGAGTTTTAAATCAGGAAGTATATTCAGGTTAAGGCCAGGAAAGCATGCTTGCTGGAGATGGTCTTACATTTGTTTGGATTAAGAAACATGGGCTGCTCTTGGATTGACAGAGGACATGAGACAACATGTTTCTTGGAGATGTGATACATTTTTGTGACTCTAGGTTCAGTTTGTGGCTTTTAATGCAATAAAATCAATGTTGCCTCCTTTCAAGCTGTTTACTGAACCTTTCCTAGGTAGTTGATGATGAGAACTGGTGTTTATGTATAGCAGATGCCTCACCTAAGTAGAAGTTGAATAAAGTTGATTGGATGTGCCAACCCAGGTTATGTAGCAATCTGCTGCATGAACCAGGAGTGCTTTGGCTGAGATTACAGGCTGCCAGATCAGCCTCTTGCTTAAGCTGCCCTAATAGATCCTTTTTTTCTTTTCACATTTTCTCCAGGCTTTATTGTAAAAACCATAGTGGAAATGATGAACGAGATGAAGAGGATGAGGAGCGAGAAAGTAAAAGCCGGGCAAAGTCGGTAGCTGATCACAGTGCAATTCCACAGCAGCAGCAGCAACTCAATGGAAATTAGGTATGAAGTTGTCACCTGCCAGTCCTCCTCCTGAGATACCACTGTACAATTGATGTAGTTGTTGTTAGTGGTAAGACATTTTAAGCTGAGCATATGCCAATACGTGGTTTTTATTTTATTTTATTTTTTAAAAAAAACTGGAGCCCCATGGCACAAAAACTGGGGAGATTTCTCAAATTCATCTAACTCTAAAGAAGACTCCACTCATCGGTCAATAAATATTGCTGTTATGTTCGATTGGTAACATGCTTTTATTCTTGACTATTTTAAAATTTACCATTTCCTCATCATCTATTAAATAGGTTTCAAGTGACTGAGTTAAACTGGGAATGAATAAGACATCCATAACTACTAATCTTTTTTAATGCTTAGTAACTTTTTTTTCTACTGCCTGTTAGAAATGTCCTTGAACTGCCAGAAACGTTCACGTGTATGAGCCTTCAGCAGAAGTTGTTTCACATGTCAATATTATGTAGGTAATCTGCAGTGCCTGGAGAAACACACATAGAGAAACACGGTATCAGTGAGGTGTAATTTGTACAATGTCAACGCTGTGACAGATGTTGAAATAGTAAATCCTGTTCCTGGACCTGGAATTAAATTTCTGATTTGGAAAACGTTCAGTGGCTTTGTGATCACAGCGACTGTCAAAAGTTTTTACTTACAACTTGGATGTGCCTATTTTGATAGCACGGCTGCAGAATGTGTGCATTTTACATTTTTCTTCCCATGCAAATTACAGAAGCAAACCAGAAGGCAATGAACTAATCCCTTTTGCAAAATGGCCAATGTACAAAAAACGATTCTTAGCTCAAGACACCTGCCTTTGAGTCTTTGGTGTAGCTCTGTTGGGAGGATTCTACTGCCCGGAGATCGCTCTGGCCACTGCTGACTGTAAGCTGTGAGAGTCATGCCAAAAGGCAGTGGTTCATTCTTTCCTTCCGCTCTCCTTTTATTTGAACCCTGTGGCTGGAATAACTGAAAAAAAGGTGTTGTCTTCTGGAAGTGTTCAATGCTGGCCCATTTCTCTTAGATTTCCAAGTTACTGCATAATGCTCACTTTGGAATTTAATCCCCTCAATTGGGCATCATACCTCAAGTGCTCTGTGCTGTGTAGAACACAAGTTTTGTCCATATATATATATATATATATATATATATATATATATATATATATATATATATATATATATATCGTATACTGTATGCTGTAAGAAAAATGAAAATAAGACATCGAGTCATGTCTTTTTGTTTTTGAGGTAAGAGGTCAGTATTTATTTTGTGTCTTGTGACCACTATATGAGAATGTTTTGATATTTCATCAAAGTTTCCTGGCAGATCAGTGAGTGCTGTTAACCTGCAAGGATGGCTGAAATTATGTTAAGTCTTAACATCCCAGTTTCAACGTCATAGAATCCTGGTATTTCTTGTAATTACTTCAGGTGTTTTGGTTGAACCTATTCTAAAAACAAAGTTAAATTAGTTAGCAAACTGCCAATTTTACTCTTCAGATATTTTTCTTATCTCTCAAAATGTCAGATTAAGGCAGCAGATTGGAACAGGCTGACAGTTGGATGAAAAGCTGAGAACATCCACTAGCAGTTGACACTGCAAAAAAAAAAACTTTCTGTGATATCTTTGTTTATGAAGTCTTGTTTATTTTTTTATTTTTAATCTTTTGTCTGCTTTTTTTAAAAATGCATTTCATTGTCTTGAGGGACTCACTATTGTGTATAAGAACCTCTAAGGCTCTCAAGTTGAAAATCAATCCATTTGGGTTTGAAAACTTCCTGGAAGAATGCAGTTTAGTAGGAAAGTTGTGTATAAAAATGAATCTGTTAATTGCTCTTACTCCATTGACCAATTTTTTTATTTTGTAATGTAACTTTCAAAATTAAAGGCGCCACTTGTACTGAAATAGATTTTTTTAGCAGGCTGTGCAGTTTTTCAAAAGAATGGGTTGTGTTGTGTTCTTTAAATGTCCTGTAACTACGGTATATCAAAAATTTAACGAAGTATGTTGGTTGGGGTTAATTTTGGGGAAATGATCCAGAAAGCTTGCACATTTTTCTGAATTTTAGACTAATAAAAGTAATGTGCTGAAATTGTATATGGAGAATGAATACCTGATCTCTCTAGTATAAAGATTATTGATTTCCCAGAAATCTATTCTTTGTTCTTTGATAAACATAACTTAAAAAGCCAGTGGGAGTTCTCATTTCTATTCCATTTATTTAAAACGTCTAATTGGGACTAGATGATAGAACTTTCTTGCTCTTCTGGATGTTAAGACCATGAAACTTCATTATAACTTCCTGTTTAAATCTGATATTCATGAGAAAAGCTGACAGCTATGGAAACTGTGCCTTGTGGACTTAGTTAAAAATAGGATGATGTTGTACAAATAGGATGATGTTGTACATGCCATTTCAATAGGAAATTCTGTTTCCAGTCTTACTTCAATCTGCAGTAGTTTTCCACATTGCAAAGTACATAAAAGGGCAGAGTGTTGAAAGGATCAGATTCCATTATTTGCCTGAAATAATATTAGAATTTCATCAAGGATATTTTGCCTTTAAAACAAAAAACAGTCTTTCACAATAAAAGGTGTAATTCTGCTTTTTGTGTCCTTCTGAGTAGACCAAAGCTGCCAGAATGAAAGGCACAACCCACCCTAACAATTATAAGGGTCCTCTTATGAGTCTGCTTAATAGCCATTTGGTGTCCATGACTGACCAAATCGGTGCAGACGCTGTCTCCAGTAGACTCTGCTTTGAAGGCCATAGAGAACACTATTTCCCTTCCAATTCACTTCTAGCAAATCGTTGCTGAGGGTGCAGTGAGGGAACACTCCTACGTACATAACTTAAAGAGGAAAAGATGCAATGAAAATCAAAATATTGATCATTTGCAGCCATGTATAAAAATTTGTAAGTACATTCTGTTGGACTGAGAAGAGAGGTCCTGTTTCAGTCCGTTGCCTGTTGTATTTTTTTTTTTTTTTGCTTGCAAGGAATTTTCTACAGGCATCTTTAGAAAGCATGTTGTGTATTCGGCCATGTTGTCTTCATCAAGTCCTGCTGCAGATGTAAATCTGCTTTTTTACTTTCTTGGACTGGGGTCACAGCAATTGTGTTGGAACGTAGCTTCTCCCAAACAGCATTTTTGCTTCTAGGACAAAAGAGCTTATTTTCCACCAAGTCTTCAATAGTACTGTTGTAAATATTCATTTATATAGTGCTATCAATGTGTGTGTATTCCTTAGAAGTATATAAAAATGTTGTCCCTGCTTCTAAAAAGGTTATTGTCTAAAATTTATCTCAGAGGCAAGAAATTAAGAGGAAGTATGTGAGATAGAAGACCCTGCTCCTAAGGCATGTGTTGTAATCTTGTGCTCACTTGAAATACGCCATGACAAGATTTATTTCTGACCAAATGATAGTGTTGCACTTGTTTCAAAAATACCTGTAGTTCTTGGCTATGCCTAAAAAGGCTCTTTAGTTCCGCTTGGAGTTTTTGTTGCATTTTTTAAACAGGATTAGAACTAATCCAGGTTTTATTTTAAATGCAGGCATAGGCATACAAGGAAAATTGGCTTTTCTGGGTTTCAGACCAGAGTCTTGTCTTTTGCCTTCATTCCGCTGGAGAAACAGCTATCTTTTGAAAATACATGTGTCATCATGCTCAAGACAATTCCCTATTTCTTTGAATTATCAGCCACACTAGCATAGGGCTTCACTCTTGGAACATAAGAGATGTATGTTCCAAGAGTGAACATACTGTACCGAGGCTATCATTTTTATTCTTTAGAATGCACAGGAGCACTGATAATAACTACGTTTATTACATTTCAGATCTCCCCCAAAACAAAATTCTATAGGCAGTACAAAAGAAAGAGACAGCAGATAATAATGAAGATAAAACCTAGTCCTAGAGCATAGATACAGCAACTTAAAAGTTCTAAAATGATGTTGTAGTTGCCAAAATATATCAGGAAATAAAATAATGATCCAGCACATCTGGTAACAATATGTAAGTATTAATGAGTGATTTGAAGGATATCACCATGTCTTACTTTGTTTAATGGAGGCATCTGAAAGAGAACTTTGGGTAAATATAACACATGTTCCTCCATGTACGGCTGCAAAGAAAGGTAGAAGTTTGCTTGTCTAGAACTTGCATTCATTTGTTTAGCAATCTCAAGGCAAGGAAATTAGAAGGATGGTAGGATTCATCCTCCTGTTTACTAACGGCCTTGAATTACCAGTGCAACCATTGGAACCAGAAACACCAATAATATTTAACACGCCCTTCTTGTCTTACCTGCTGAACAAAGGACAGAATCCCCGATCAATGGGCTTTGCAGTCTACAGGTGTTCTCCCAAATGGGTGCAAATTAGCACATGCCAAGAGAACCATAGCAACACGCGCAACTGGTACCAACGGTTTCTGCAAGAATAAAACAAAAGGCGTTATAAGCAAGAGGTCAAATGTCTTTTATAAAGAAGGTCAATTTAACATATTTTTTTTGTTAATTAAAAAATGGTACTCGGTATTCTCAGGCATCTGCCATTCAGAAGAGCAACACAAAGATTTTTAAAAAGCCCAACTTTGGAAGGATTTCTTGTGCTTGCACCTTTCTGCCTACCAATTTTATAGGAAATGGCCCTCTATTCACCTCCTAGACCTAAAAGAAACTAATATCCAGATGAAACAGATTGTTTAGTTCTTAACAGCTCTGAGATCTTCCTGCACGGTTTCCCAGTCTGGACCCTGAGACTGGCAAAAGGGAAGAGATAGCAAACCTAGTCAGGCTGGTCTGTTGACTAAGGCACCAGGCTAGAAAGCAGGAGGCTAAGAGTTCAAGTCCTGCCTTAGCCATGAAAGCTAAGTGGGTGATCTTAGGCCAGTCCTGCTCTCTCACCCCACCTCCTAGGGTGTTTGTGGGGAAAACAGAGGAAAGTGTGTTTAGATGTGTTCATTGCCTTGAGTTATTTGTAAGAGATACAAATAAAAATAAACATCTATCCTTATGATACATTTTCCCAATGTAGGTGCTCTCCAGATGCGTATTATTGAACAAGCTCTCCAAATTTCCAGCCCAGATTTTGAGTTTGAGGACATTTTATTTCGGGAGAAGGGGGGGGGGGCTAAGAAAAACTAAATTTCTGAGCTTGAGCATAGGGGCGGGCCCGGTGGATTTATTTAAATAGTAAAACACGACCCTCCCTCCCTTGAAGCACTACAAGTAAAATTAAATTTAAAAAAAAACCCGAAAGCATGTCAAATCTTCAAAACCATGGGGCAGAATTAAAAGGAAGAGGGGGCTGCCTATATTTCATTATTATTATTACTGTTAAGCCACATTGGGGGGGGGAGAAGATGCCTTCCCCAAACCCTGATTAGCCGAGGTAACCAGATTTAAGGAAAGAGTCGGCCAGAGACATCTAGGCCGCCAGTGTCTGCACTTCCATTTCTTATTTTATTTATAATTTATAATAATCTGGTTGAGCGGCTTACAGGGTCATTCACACGATTACCGTTACTGTGCCAGATTGCGGGGTGCGCGTGTGTGTTTGCGTGGAGGAGGGGAGCGCCTTACCCAAATCAGGATTTAGCTGAGGTAAACCGGCTTTGGCGGGAACCGCCGCCCCTTCCTCGCCACCGACCGGCTGGGCTAGCCGCCAGGGGCGCCCGCGCGCCCCTTCCTCCTCCCGCTCGCCCCCGTTCGGCGGGGCGTGGCGCGGCGCTCGCGCTGACCCCGCCTCCCGCGAGGAGCAGCAGCAGCGGCCGCTTGCGGGGCGGCGGCGGCGGCGGCGGCGGCGGCAGGAGCATCGCGGTGGCCGCCTTCCCGCCGCCATGGCCGGAAACAGCGGGGGTAGCTGCAGCGACCGTTGCATCGTGGTGAGGGCCGCGGGGGGAGGGAAGGGGGGGCGCTCAGGTTGCGTTGCCTAGCAACAGGGCGCGCGGAGGGGGGATCTTGTCTACCGGTTGGGGGAGGGAGCCACCGTCCAAGCCTGGGGCGGCCTCTAGCCGGAGGGAGGGAATGGAGGGAGCAGGCCGGGCGAAGGGTCTCTGGGCATGTCCAGAGCGCCTCCAGATCAACTCGGTCCAGGGAGTCCTGCGGGCCTCCATTCATTGCTGCTTCGGCCCCCTCCCCCCAAAGAGCGGACCCTGCCCTCTCGGCCGGGGGGATGGCCGGCAGGAAGAGGCCATCTTTGGGCGGGGGGGGGCGCCGAGTAGAGGGTGGCGGCCTGCAAGGTGCCCGCTGTGCCCGGACAGGCCCTTGGGGGAGGCCCTGGGGAAGCCCCGCCACGGGTGGTCGTCAGGCCTGTCCGGGCACAGCGGGGCCTGTCCGATCCCCCAGCAGCCTGGAGAGGCCCGCTCTGCCTCCCTTGCCCGCTGCACAAACCAGCAGCCATCCGCAGAGGAGGGCGAGGGGGGCTCTGCCCCACCCCGAGAGCGATTTGGGGGGAGAGGCCGCTGAACCGCCTAGCAGCGGGAAAAGCTGCAGCCAGGAGAAGTGCTTGTAATGGCCACCACCCTCTGTCGGTGTGTTTGTGAGTCCTTTTAAAGGCTTCAGCCGGAGTGTGAGTGCCACCCAGATGCCAGGCAGGGTCCCCGCCCGTCCCAGAGCAAATCGGGGAGAGAAGTTCAAAAGTTTTGCCTGCCTGGAAACCTTAACAGGGGCTATCCTTAAAAAAGAGGTCCCTGTACAAAAGATCCCAAAAGGTTCCACTTCCCTGGAATCCTGGAAAGCCCGCTTGGCGGGTGCCTGCCTAGCCTGAATTGGATCCTCGCTAGCAAACGGGCATGGGCACCAGCAGTAACAGCAGCAGCAGCCTTCTTTCATCAGACACGTGCTGAGATGAGTAACTTCCTGCTCCAGGCTTGGGGAACATGTCTGTATCAGCTTTGACTAAAGCCGTTTCATCCTTCAGGGAAAAAAGATCTGGGCTTGTGTGAGGAAGCCAAAGGTCCAAAATCTTCAGCACTTTTTGAAAATACAGTAGATCACGTTAGATCTTGAACCTCAGTGGGCTCTTTTCCTTTTTGTCTGAAATTCTGTTTTGATTTTATTCTTTTTTAATTGGGGAGAGGCGACACTCTTACAGGAAGTATTGTGCTGCTCCAACAGACTTGATAAGGAGAGAAAAATATCAGCCACAAACTGGCGGCTTTTTAAAGTAATCCTGTGTCTTTTGTGCCCTAGCACGTAGTAGGTTAATGGTTAGCAGAAAGAAGACATTTATCGTAACCAGACTCTTGGCTTTTAAGATGAAAGAAAAACAGAGATGATGTACCTATGCGATATATTTCGATTTTCCCTTCTGTTAAATCTGTAGTAGTAAACTAGAGCTTTGAACCTGGGGGAAATCTCTCAAGGTCAGTCTTATCAGAGCACTGTAAGGAGGACTCTGTAAACTTCCAAGCTGCTTTTTATTGGTTTATTGTTTTCGTGCTCCTTTTTACTGAAGATAAGAGCACGTGGCTGTGGAAAAGACAATGAACTATCCTCCAAGGATATCAATGAAAGCAGATGTGATGTTGTAAGAGTTCATAAAACCCCAGCGTGATGGGAATATTGCTGCTTATTAATCACGCTAGTTTCTATATTGTTCTTTGAGCTGACCTCAGAAGCTCTTTTGGGTTGAGATCTATTTTTTAGTCAGTCTGCCTGAGCCTGACATGCATTCATTAAAAAAAAGCAGAGGAAATGGTCTAGCTTTATGTCATTCTAACAGAGAGTGCAGACCATTTCTCAAGAGATGTTGACTTATAAGGAATTCCTTCTCTAGTTATATAATGTGGGTCAGGTAACATATCAGCACACGGAATATTGGGTAAGAAAATCCTGCCACTGATGCAGGGAGTCCTGAAATATAGTTCTAATGATAGTGGAATGTTGCTTGCTTCAGTTTAAAAGTGAAAGTTTTTTTTAATGGCATCCAAACGCCTCTGGTTTTAGAATGGCATTTTGTCCAGTATGGAATCACTGAATCATGGCTTGGATAGGTTAAAAATAATTAAAATTAGCTAAACGGTTCTGAATAGGCCCTTCCTTGCAGGTGCCTGGATTCTTTGCAGAGGATATTCGCACACTGGGATCCCAAAGATCAAATCGTTGCAAGCTCACTTACTGCTTTCAGTAAAATGTGGGTACCGCAATGCTCTCTTGTGGGATGCAGATGTTATCTGCATTCTGAAATATTGTATGCTTTTAATAGAAACACAGCTCCTCACAGATTGTAGTGAAGAGCAGTGTCCAGCTGGTGTATTTTTCTGTGGGATGTTGAGTTCCAATTTAAGGAAAATGGGTTGGCAATGCCACAAGTAGAAATGGCTTCTTTTGAAGCTCATTTGTGTGGCAGGACCAGAAAATATCTGGATGTTCTTTTCTGATTTGTTTAGTAAAGGAGGAAAGGTATGGCAGTGAGGAAGGCAAATGTCAAAAACAGTCTGGTTATTAAACTTTAGTCCAGTGAACCTGGCCAGCCTGTATTTTAATTCCATGTGCGCAAAGCTGCTTTTGCATAAATGCATATTTTTTCAAGAAGTGAAAAATTGTGGCCTACCCAGCCCCCTAGGTGCTCTGCTGACCCTTCCCTACATTCTTTCTCAGCATGGATTTTTTCTTTTGCAAATGATACTTGCATTTCACATGAATGAAAAAAACCTGAATTGTCCAGACCGCCTGCAGTAAATTCGCTACCCCTTTGTCTCGAAGAATCAAATAATTTTGAAAAGCACAAATGCCAACACCCTGAGATTTTTGCCCCAAAAATGCCAAGCACGAAACCCCAGGCCACCAGTTCATGGCCTCAGGTTGGGGAGGAAACCCAGGCCTGCCTTCTGACGTGGCTGGTCTCTGCAGAGACGCGTCATGCATTGCCTCTGACTTCGGACTATTTTTTTCCCTCCTTTAGATTGGAGACGACGAACAAGGTTACGACCTGGATTTGTTCTGCATCCCCAAACATTATGCGGATGATTTGGAAAAAGTCTACATTCCTCACGGACTCATTATGGACAGGTTTGTTTGACTCGCAGTTCCAGTCTGAAATGCAGGTTCCCTGCAAGCTACTGCAGGCAGTCCCTGACTTACAGCAGTTCATTTAGTGACCGTGCAAAGTTACAATGGCATGGGAAAAAGTGACTTATGACTATTTTTCACAGTTAATGACCGTTGTAGCATCGTCATGATCTTGGGATCAACATTCAGACGTTTGGCAACTGCTTCATGCTTACGACCGTTGCAGTGTCCTGCAGTCACATGATCCCCTTTTGCGGCCTTCTGGCAAGCAAAGTCAATGGGGGGGGGAAGCCAGATTCACTTAACAACTGGGTTACTAACTCATCACTAAACAATTGTGGCAAGCAGGATCGTAAAATGGGGCAAAACTCAGCAAATATCTCACTTAACGACAGAATCTTTGGGCTCAATTGTGGTCATAAGTCAAGGACTAGCTGTTTAAACTTGCTTTAAGGAGCTTCCCATGATGAACAGTTACAGAATTCACTCCTCTGAAACTGAAGGTGTATAAATTTAGCCAAGGAACGTTAAGTGGGAGACATGGCCCATGTAGGACAGCGTCCCCTGAAACAAGCATAGTACCTGCTAGGTACAGTTTGCAACATTTCTGCCAGATCCGTGATAAGAAAAAGCCAGTCGTTCATCTGCATCTCTGCCACAAATGGCAAGCATTATACATTTTAAAATGTCCCCAGTATTAACCTTAATCTTTTTTTTTATCCGTATTAAGCAGATGCCTAGCAATCTGGGCAATATAATACAGCTTCTGCAACTGCCTAATCAGTTTTTCTCATAAATAATATTCTCTTCACTAAAACGTGGGATCAAACGATGAATAGTCTTCCTTAGATATTTGGAAGACAATATAGAACAGGGGTGTCCAACCGTGACCACTTTAAGACTTGTGGACTTCAACTCCCAGTATCGGCTGGCTGGGAAATTCTGGGAGTTGAAGTCCACAAGTATTAAAAGTGGTCAAGGTTGGACATCCCTGATGTGGGATGTAAACGAAATAGGTGTATAATGTAACGTCGTGGTCTGCTTTTCTGCCGCATTTTGGAAGTGTGGCTCTCCCACCTGAAAACATTTCGCTACTTTGATTTTGAGTTGCTGGACAGCCTCTTGGGCCTTGGTAATCAGGCAGTTGCAAAACTAGATTCAGTTTCCTTTCCAAAAGCTGGCTGCCTGATATCTTTTGTGGAGGCTGAGATTTGCTTTGGCACAAGCTCCCTGGAAGATCAAGGCTGTTTGGCAGCACCACGATTGGATTAACCTTGGCAAGTGAGAAAAAGCAGGCATGTCATTGACCGGCCGATAGTCCTATTCACTGTCAGATGGAAGGTAAAGAAGCTGTGTTTGTTTAATCTCTCCACCTTTGTGGATTACCTGGGTGCAAACACTGAGTGTCCCTGTATAGTGACCAAAGTTAGCAATGGCAGTGAAAAAAGTGACTTGTGACTGGTTTTCACGCTTGCAGTGTCCTCACAGTCACACCATCGAAATTGAGACACTTGGTGACTGACTCATATTTACGGCGGTTGCAGCGTCCCAAGATCACCTTGATCCCCTTTTGTGACATTCGGACAAGCAAAGTCAATGGGGAAGCCGGATTCACTTAACAGATGTGTTTCTAACTTTAACAACTGCAGTGATTCAGTTAACAAATATGGAAAGAAAAGTCCTAAATGGGGCAAAACCCGCTAAACCATTGCCTCACTTAGCAACAGAAATTTTGACCTCCGTTGTGATCGTAAGTCAAGGACTATTTTATAGTAAGCCTCCTTTTTCCTTTTTTTTCCCTGCAGGACGGAGAGGCTAGCCCGGGAAATTATGAAAGGCATGGGGGGCCACCACATTGTTGCGCTCTGTGTGCTCAAGGGAGGCTACAAATTTTTTGCTGATTTACTGGATTATATAAAAGCCCTGAATCGGAACAGCGACAAGTCCATTCCGATGACTGTTGACTTCATCCGCCTGAAGAGTTACTGTGTAAGTCAGTCTGTTGGAGACACATTTTTTGAATCTGGCTTATTGCCAGCTAGAATTTGGGGTCCCTACAGTGCTGCACATAGAATACTTAGGTCTTCCCTTGGCGGCAAAAAATATGAAACGGGGAGAAAACAGGCTGCAATTGAAAACAGTTTGTGCTCCTTCTGACTCCTTCAAATCTTAACTGTGAACATGCAGTTCAATCATGGATGAATACGATTTTTTTTTCTTCAAAGCAAACGAGGGGTAACATCTCAGGTTGGGGTGAGAAACAGTCTCAACAGAAGGATAAAGACGGTGCCTCTCTGTGAGCAGTCTATGCACATTTCCCTGGGCATAAACCCCATTTCAACCAGTGGGGTTTAGCTCGGACTATGTGTGTATTAGGCCTGCAGGGTTAGGCAAAAAAAAAAAAAAAAATTGTTTGCAGGATGCATCACTGGGCTTATTTGAGTCACAGCTAAGAAAACATGACTTCTCCTCTTGCTATGAGGGGGATGAAGCCACAGTCTTGCTCATGTTTAAAAACTTTCCATTTCAAAAGGGGCTGTAGTTTGTTTTTTTCCTTTTCTGAAGGTTTCTGTAGTATTAATAACAGCTTTACTTTTTTTTCTCTTCTTTTTCCTGCCTAAAATTAGAATGATCAGTCAACTGGCGATATAAAAGTAATTGGCGGGGATGACTTATCAACCTTGACTGGGAAGGTATGTCCCAAAAGAAGGCATACAGAACATGGATACAGAGGCCTCTGGAAAACACGGATATACAGTGTTTATTAGCAGAATGTACTTAAAATGAAATGCAATTAAGGTGAAAGCATTTCATTAAAAAAAAAAACATAGACTATGCAAAGCATTGCCAAGTTTCCCTTGCATTCTGGCTTTCAGAAAGCTTTGCTTGCTAATCATGTGGGTTCTTTCTGCCCCAGTAAATTTTGCAATTCCGAGTATACTGTGTCTCTGGTGAGGGGAGCAGGGTTGTTCCTTTAGGAAAGGGAGGAGATGAAATCAGAAAAATTAAATCCATGAACTCTTTTAAGCAAGGGGGTACCTATGTTGACCACATCACTGTTGCTTTGAAAACCAGATCCTGGGACCAAAAAGAAACAGATTTTTCCAAAGCCTTCCAGATGTCTCAAGTGATCCCTTTTTTAAGTTCAACCATACAGTTCCTGTTTTAAAAAGTTGTTCTCTAGATGTATGTTCAAAAACATTTGTTAGTTTTGGCCACGAGGAAGTACTTAAACCATTTCAAAAATGCTAGCAAGCTAAAAGCATTTAGGATGTGCTTCCTAAGGCGTTTAATTCAATGTCTTTCTTAGTTTTAATCGTTACTGCTTTGTGGTTAGAAGCTAATGTTTGAATTTATCTGTTTAAAGTCCCAAAGAATACACTAATGAGATGTTAATAACATGAATAATTTAAACACCAGGTACAATTTGTAGCCATTTTCTCCTGGCTTTTTTTATAAATGGAGCATTTACCTATAATTACATGGTAGTTGATTAGTAAAAAAATGGAAAAATTAGGAAAAATAGAAGTTGAAGTGTAAAGCTGAACTAAAATTACTGATGGTATTGTCTTTTCTTTTTCAGAATGTCTTGATTGTAGAAGTAAGTACTTCATTTGACAGTTAACTATCTTTATGTATGATTTGGGGCGCTTTGCTTTGAGTTCCTTGTAAGGTCTAAGTAAGCTGTGTGGATTGGAATCACCTTTCAGCTGCAAATTTCAAGGCAACTTCAAACTTATCCATTTCTTCCCGTTATTCCTAAACAGGGATGAGGAAAACGGTTGAAGCAATCTTGAAACAAGATTTATTAACCATCTTTGTGACCAAATGCACATTAATCATTTGCATCAAAGTTTGCTTGCCTTTATAAAAGGCCCTAAAAGACACGTCACCAAGTTTTAACAATGTATTTTAAGCCCCGAGGCTATCTCCTCTATAGATATATTCTCTTTATTATTATTTTTCCAGGCATAATGTGCCCCAGCGAAGCATTACTTTGCTGTAGTTTTCCTCCAAAGCCAGGTGGTGTAATCCGTTTTGTTTCTTTACTCCTCAGGATATAATTGACACTGGCAAGACAATGCAGACTCTGCTGTCCCTGCTCCAGCAGTACAATCCAAAGATGGTCAAAGTGGCAAGGTCTGGGCTCGCCCTTTACTACCTCCCTGTAATTTTTGTCTGATAGCAGACAAGCAGTCAACTAACCGGCTTCTGTACGGTAGAGATAACCCACACACAACTCTTAAGAATTGTAGGCTTGTGAAAAATAAATGCATCAGGCCCCTCGCACTTTCCTGCTGCTCAAGTTCACAGCAAGGCAGAGGCTTATGTGGGGAGGAAGTGGGGCCATGTTTCCCCTTTCTCATCCTGCCTTTCCTCAGGAGGCAGCACGGTCCTCGGCTCCTCTCCTGAGTCAAGAAACAGCCTTTGTGTGCACCTAAAACCTGGAGAAAACCTCTCTGTTTGCTGATTATTTCTTGCTACACCTATAAGGAAGGACAGAACACAATCCTTGGCCCAAAGGTGTCCAACCTTGGCAACTTTAAGACTTGTGGACTTCAGCTTCCAGATGGCTGGGGAATTCTGGGAGTTGAAGTCCACAGGCCTCAAGTTGCCAAGCGTGGACCCCCCTGGTTTAGCTAGTATGGGATGTAGGATTGCATATAACCTTTGTCCTATCAGTTACATGAGCTGACTTTGGCTGAATTTTTTTGACAGCTTGCTGGTGAAAAGGACACCCCGAAGCGTAGGATACCGGCCTGATTGTAAGTGACTCTTGTGTAATCATAGTGTAATCTGACTGTAATAGAGGCACAGGTGTAAGAGAACGCTGTTGAAGCCAGAAAACAGTGGGCTGAAACTGGTCAGCCAAGGGAGGCTCCTGTGGGCAGAGGACCGAGCTGACTTACAGGGACAGCTTTTCTGCGCCTTGAAAAATCCGGTTGCTGGCTGTGTTTGTAAGCGAATCTAAGCCACAGCAGCTGAGAGTGTAAGCAGGGCTCGGCCGCCTTGTGTTTCAGAGATTTCCTCCATAATGACTGTGTTTAGGGTTTCAGCTTAACAACATTGGGTCAAGCGTGATTTTGCAGTGTGTGTCTTCGCTCTAAATTGAGGGAGCTCTTCCTCCTCCCTTCTTTTACTCGTCATAGCACCTTGAGTGACAGTAGGAAAACGCCACTTGTTTAACTTACTGACTTAGGGTAACGAACCTGGTTTTATTTTTATTTAAAATGCCCGTGCCATTTTTGCTGCAGCACTCTTCACTCACCACTCCAGTTATGCAAAGTGGCACCATAATTAACATTATTAACATGGTTGTCCCAAACACAGCCTAACCTTCTGCTTTATTGTGGTTCTTTTCAGTTGTTGGTTTTGAAGTGCCGGACAAGTTTGTGGTTGGATATGCTCTAGATTATAACGAATACTTCAGAGATTTGAATGTAAGTAATTAGCACAGATCATCTTGTTCAAAAAACCCGCGTTCACCCATGCCCTTGCTCTGCTTCTTTTAGCCGAGGGGTCAAAACGAAACAATAGGAGCGGATTTCTTTTCTTGAGCAACAAGCTGGGAAAGTCCAGAGTCGTCATGGCTGCTCACACAGCCTTCAGCCCCCTTTTTCAGTCTGAGGCCCATTTTGATTCTGGGATGCGACAACCACACAGATCGTTTGCCAAGTGCCCGAAATTTTGATTGCGTGACCGTGAGAATGCTACAACTGTCGTAAGCCAGAGGGCCGTTGCTAAGTCACGTTGTAATTCAGACGACCGCTAAAGGAATGGTCGTAAACTGAGGACTATTAAACTGGAGTGGCAGAGAGTTTACTTTGACCAGGGCGGCCCTGTAACGCACCTCCGAAGTTGGCTTTCAATACAAGACTCGGCAACGGGTGGATCTTCACCTTGTTATTAATTCGGAGGCATTTTGTATTTCAGCACATCTGTGTGATCAGTGAGACCGGAAAAGAGAAATACAAGGCATGATCAGGCCGGTTCCATCCGACTGCAGCGAGACCTTGAAGCCGATATCCAGCACCTGCCTTCGGCTGCCTTTCGGCCCAATCACCAGCTTTAGATTGTGGAGTGATTCCCTCGCTCTCGTCATATCGCTTGCTCTAACTTATTGCATGTACAGTTATGGGAAACTTGTCTTGTTCATTTACATTTGGGAAGTTAAGGAAGCTTCCACTTTCCCTTTTTTTAAATTTGCACTATGCATCTCCTCCTAGCCCCTCCCTTAAGAAAAACAAATCTCTCTCTTTCTCACTTGCCTCCCCCCTTTAAAAACCTCATCAGCTCATGAAATAGTTCTAAGTACTGTAAATGTATAAGGCATTTTAAGATGGGAAATCTATATTAGTAATATTTTTTAAAAAAACGAGTAATTTAAGTTTTATATTGTAATGGAATGTAATTGAGATTTGGGGTGCGGGTGGGGTGGGGTGGTAACCAAGCCGCTGCTGCAGGGGTGGGTGCTGGGAAAGAGGCACACGGAAGCACCGTGGGATGGTTTTGGTGTTCTCAAAGGAGGCATTGATGCTGTTCTGCTAAGCTGCTTTTTGGAGTTGCTTTAGTTGCCTTTTGCAGAGTTAAAGGAAAGTTAAAGGCTTGTGTTCTCCGTCATTCTTCCTCCATCAGCTGAGTTACGTTGCCTTTCGGACCCAACCATCGTCCTTGTATTTTACGTCAGTGATTGTAACGCTGACAGTTTGAGGTGCACAAAGTGGATGTACTTTAAAATAAAAGCTGTTTCTCCCAAGAGGCAGCTGAGCTGGCTCCACCATATACTTAAAGCAATCACCGGCTGTGCCCTCTTTTTTTTTGCCTCAGTTTCCTCATCCCAGGCCAGTGATTTCAGGGAAGAATTTGGGGGGTGGGGGATGGTGGTGATTGGGCCTGTTGGGAAAAGGCTGTTGGCTTCTGGCAAGGTCAGTCAGCAGTGGGCAATTCCTCTGAAAAACCCATTTTCTAGATTGAGGAACCGTTGTGTTCTTCACTGCTGCTGTTAATCACTAAGTTGTGTCTGGCTCTTCACAACCCCATGGACCGCAGCCTGCCAGCCCCCTCCCCCAGTGTCACCCTGAGTTTGCCCAAATTCATGTTCATTGTATCAATGACACTATCTGACCATCTCATCCTCTGCCCTCCCCTTGTCCTTTTGCCTTCCATTTTTCCCAACATCTCTTCCCATTACTTCCCAGTTAATCCCTGTGTGTTTCAGAGTCCTTTGCGTTGGGGGTCTTGTCATCACAAGACTGTGGCTAATTCTGATGCCGCTAAAAAAATCACAACTGCCTGTTTTTTGCTAAAGAGTTTAGGGGCCATTTCGTCTCTCCATTCAGCCCTTCAAGAAAGAGGTGTCCCTTGCCTTCTGACCCACGTCAGGATGGTGGTTTTTAAGCCCGTCTTCTCCCAGCTTGCCTTTTGTTTTACTGCCGGCTGCAGAAGGGTGACCTCTGCTGTTCCTGGGCTCAGAGCACATTTGCAGCAGCAGCAGCACATTAAAAGGGCTGCCTGCGATGTGGGTCCCTTGCCACAGTCAAGTCAGAACCTTCTAGCAACGCCCTGGCACATACACACGGGATCCTGCTCACATTTGTGTTAAATCGGTGTGGTTTGTTTGGGGCCTAATGTGGCTTACTATCATTTAGGAGGCAGGCCGTGATTTGCTGCTCAAACCATGGTTAAGAGCCTCCAGCCCTGCAGGATCAGGCTTGGTTTGCACAAGGTGCTAGAATAAGTTTTATTTAAAACAGACTTTATTGACTCAATCTCAAGGGTTTTTCTACAACATTAGCTGTAAAACGTGATTAACAAATGAGAACAAACAGCTTCACGCTTTGGGCTAAGTGAGAAATTTAGCTAAATGTCTGCGTTGGGGGGGGGAGGGGGGAGGTGGATGTCCTACCTATTTGGTGGTGCCACATTTTACAATTTGTGAAGGCCCGTATGGGTCAGGGGCAGTTTGCCTTCCTGATCAGAGTTTTGTGCCCCTCAGCAGGATTAGACCAAACGGAGGAGCAGAATCTGCCTCTTTCTCAAAAGCCCCATGCGGACCCTCTAAACCAGTGTTTCTCAACCTTGACAATTTTAAGGCATGTGGACTTCAGCTCCCAGAATTCCACAGCCAGCAATGCTGGCTGTGGAATTCTGGGAGTTGAAATCCACATGCCTTAAAATTGTCAAGGTTGAGAAACTGCTGTAAAGCGAGCCATAAGGGAGGGGGGGAATCTCTAGCTTTGGCCTGCTAGGCAAGTAGCCCAGCTTGGCAGGTGGGTGTTTTGGTTGGTTTTAAAGCCAGAACAGGAAAATGGAAATCCCTTTCAGTCAGCAGTTATCCCGAAGCAGCAGCGGCCCTTTCTCTGGGTTTCCCGCAAGATTCCCCGCACCTCCAGCCTGGCCGGCCGGGTCCTGTGCAAGGAAACCAGACGGGACGGGAGGAAAACCGCCGGCGAAGGAAACGGGGCTCCGGGTCAGACCTCGCTGGCAAGAGACGCCCGCGGAGAGCGGAGCCCCTGCGCGGCGGCGGGCGAAAGGGCGCCCCCGACCTTCCTCTTCGCCCCGTCCCTCCCGAGGGGGCCGCCGCTGCGGGCCAGCCGCCTTCGGTCTCCCGGCGCCCGGAGGGGAAGGGACGGAGCCCGGCCGCCAGCGGCGCCCTCGGTGCGGACGGGAGCCGGGGAAGCCCGAGGAGGCGCGGCGAACGGGGCCGCCTCCGGGGCCCTCCAGACACCGCCACGGCCGTCCGGGACTCGGGGGGAAGCTTGCCGAGCTCTCCCCGCTTCGCTTGAGGGGCGGAGAGGGACCCCAGCCTCCTCCTCCACCATTGTCACTCCGCTTCTACTTAGATTGCGCCCCCTCCCGCCGCCCAACAAGCGCCCTGCGAGGTAGGCCGTGTGGGCCACGCCCAACCCACCCCCTCAGCGGCATCGGGAGGCGAGACCCGCGCGAAGGACCGGGCTTCTCCGGGTCGGGGCCATCCCTGGCCGGCAGGCAGCGGAGCCCAAGGCCGGCTAAGCCGCGGCTGCTTCCGCAAACCCAGCGGCAGACAAGGGAGCGGCGCCGTCGGGCGGCCAGATCCCCCCCCCCGCGACTCCCCGGCGGGCGCGCCGAGGGACGGCGGAGCTCCGAGCGGGACCGGGCGGGCCGGCCGCGCCCAGCCCGGCAGAGGGCAGGGTGGGGCCGGCCGACGCCTCCGGCTCTCCGCGGGCCGCGCCAGCCTCTCCCGGGGACGGAGCGCCCTGAGGGGGCGGGGGGGGGAGGCGAGGCGCCCAGCCACATGGGCCCCGGGGTGCCACTCGGAAGGGGCGGCCGCCCCCGCAACCTCGCCCAGGGGCTGCTCGACTTAAACGGACCCCGAAGGGCCTGGAAGCCCGCGGATCCGGCTCAGCCGCCCTCCACCCCGGCCGGCTTCCGGGCCTTCTGAGCTTTAGCCACGTCGGGCGAAAGGACCGCCCGCGCCGCCGGCCGGGAAAGTCTCCCGAAGCTTCGACTCCCCCGGTCGGCCAGGAGGAAGGGCCGCTCTGAGCAGACCGCCGGAGCCGGACGGGACCTGGGAGGCCTTCTAGTCCACCCCGCCGCCGCTTCGGCCCGCCTGCCCCGCGACGGCCGCTCCCCCGCCTGTCAGCCCCGGGCCGGTTCGACGGGGCTCCGGCGACGGAGAAATCCCGCCGCCCGCCAAGGGCCCGGCCGTGCCTGAACCGAGGAGCCCCCCGGGCTCCCTTCGAAGCCAGCAAGCGAGCCCGGGCCGGCCGCCCCGCTTCCCGGGGCCCACCGAGAGGCTCGGCTCGGCTCCTCTCCCGGCTCCGCCGGCCGCGGCAGCCCCGACGGGCGGGGACCGGCAAAGCCTGCGGGCCGGGCGCCCCTCGCCCCCCTCCCCGATTTCTCCCCGATCCCCCCATCGCTCCGCTGGCTTTGCTGCCGGGCGCGCCGCCCCGCCCTCCGACCAAGTGTCTCCCGGGGGGAAAAAGCGCTCGGCGCTCCGAAGCCATCGGGGCCCCGAGCCCCCTTCCTGGCCCTGGGGAACGAATGCTGGACGGGCAAAGGCGCCGCAGCCTCGACCGCCCCCCCGGAGGACTCCCCGGAAAGCAGGCGGCGAGCGATTGTGCGAGACGCAGCCGAAAGACGGAGGAATCCGGGGGCCGCTGACAGCCTAAGCCGTTTTATTAAAAGGGAGTTTTCCCTCCCCCGGAAAAGATACCACAAGATTTCTGATTCCCCCCCCCTCTTCAAATTGTTTCAGTCTTTTTAGAGGAAGTTTTGAGGAAGAGGCTAAATTCACACACCGGGAATAAGTAAAAACCAGAGCCTTTATGTCTTAAAATGTTGCATGGAATCATTACAACAGAGTCAATCGGGGTCCTGCAAACCTAGGCAAACTGTTGCTTATTCCGTAAACCACAGTTAGGCAACCTGCAAGGCTAACTGTTGAGCTTCTGGCTGTAGTTTGGTTTTAGAGAAGACTCAACGGGCAAATCAGAAGATAGTAACATCCAATTATGTCAGATCAGATATGGGACAATCACACAACGGTTGGTTCACACCAGACATTTAATACAAATATTCGTTTTATAAAATGGTATTGCACCAAGAAGACCCCACAAGAACCCAGCCAATTATGATTTACTAAAAAAAAACATTGAATAAACCACTGCTTAGTATGATACAGGAATCCAATCAGCTAAATTGCACACTGATGCTTCTGTCATCACTTCTATCATCTTTCCGACGCCTACAGAAAACATTCTGGCTTCTTCCCTAGAAGATTCAGGGAGATTCCCTCCCTTGTTGATTATGAAAGGCCACAACACTTACTAGTAGTTGGACTATACTATATTCATATACTACTAATTCATAGGCTCTCTTTCCACAATCAGCAGCCTTAAATTTGCTTATTTGTGGGATCTTTGGAGGTCTCTGAGCTGGTTTTTTTCTTTCTTTCTTGCAGACATTTCATTACCCAACTAGGGAACATCAGTGCTACAAGAGAGTGGGGTTGTATTGGTATAATAAAAGAGGGCAAATCCCACTCCTTTCTAGCGCTGAAGATGTTACCTAGTTAGGTAATTAAACATCTGCAAGCAAACCACCAAGCTCGGAGAGCACCAAGGACCCCACAGTTCAATCCTCAGCTACAAATATTCTCATTTGTACACAAAGCCCTTATAAACAGAGGAACACCGACACCCCCTCAACTCCGCTGAAGGCGTTGTTACCTAGCCTGGTAACGAAACATTCAGAAACCAACCCACAAGCTTGGAGAACGAGCCTCTGCCCTCCTTCTCGGCTCTCTTTGCAAGCCCACAGTGTTGCAGCTCCCTAAATTCTCTAGCAAAAGAAGGCAATTTTGGGTACAAGCGCTACAAAAAACTGTCCATTTTTCAAAGTGCAGAAGACTTTAGCTCAGGATACGCTGCCTGTTTTGCCATCCTGGGGGGAGAATGTTTTATTTGGGGAGGGATGTTGGTTTATTTGGGGAGAATCACAACTCCCATCCTAAAACCCACACCAACCGATAACGAACAAAGCTCTTTTCATCGCTTTAGGACCAATTTCCTGGAGCAGGTGCCAGCTTGACTACAGCAGCAAAGCAATACTGGAGGCCATCCTAAACTCCAGTATTTACGTGCTGCTAAAGCACAGCAGACAGCAGACCTTTCCCTTCCTGTAGCACCCCCTGTGAGTAACCAAATAGGGCTGTTCTCTCTCCCAAGCCCTGGCAGATGCCAGTGAAAAAAATGATCACAGACGGCGGATTCTGGAGGACAATTCAGGTTGACATCTTGTCTCTTTTGACTTGGGAGTAGCTCTAACGAATTTGAAGCTCTCCTTTCAAGGAAAGGTGTTATTTTGTTAGCAGCGTGCAGTCCAGAGCTTCATTCTGCTGGGAATAAAAAAGTCGAGGGATGCTAGCCACGTTTAAATGCCCTTAAGAGAGGTATCCAACCGTGGCAACTTGGCAAGACCTGTGGACTGCCACTCCCAGACTTCTCCTGCCGGCTGATCTTAAGATTGCCAAGGTTGGACAGCCCTGCCTTAAGAGGAAGGGTGGCCTCGACTTTTGTCTTTGCAATTCTATCTCATTCCCAATAGTCTGGATTCAGAGAAGGTTCTCCTGGCTGAGACATCAGACCCTCGTGATGTGGGTGATGCAGAAATCATCTCCCATATTGCTTTCATTTTGAGGTGGGAAATTAAAAGGAAAGTTAAGGCGGATGCTATCGTCTACGTGTCATTTCCTTTTCAAGGCAGAAAGTGCAGCTTCCAAAAAGAACCCACTCGAAGTATTCATACTGAAACATACCTGGCCAGGCAAGCTAAGTTTGGGACGGTCTTGGCTTTCCTGTGTCTGATGATGGCTTATCTTGGACTGAATCCTTGAGGTCATGAGGCAGCCCAGAACGGTCTGTATCTTCTTTTCTCTACAAACCATGTCGTGCTGCTACACCACCTCAAGGCTGGCCATCTGAGTGAGCGTCCCCAAGGAAGCTGAGGTGCAAAGCAAAGCAAATCAAGAAGCAGGATTTCAGCAGGATTACTAGGCCCCCCTACTTCCAGTTGTACAGGGAGAAAGGGTTCGAAGTTGCCACGGAACAAGGAGCAACAACAGAATGTTAATCAGCATCCCATAAAATGTTAGGAGAGCTAATTCTTGGCAACTGAACAACTCAAAACTATGATAGCATCAGATGGGGAAACACAGCCTCTATGATTTTACACAAGCTAAGGATTTTCCATGCCTGCCTCCCAGATTAATTGGTCTTCATCAAGCCAAATTGCCTGTATTCACCTCCAAAAGGGGTTCGGCACCTATTCTAGCAGTAGCCAGTGGTACATTTCAAACAACGGATTCAGGGCAAGTTCAATTCACTCCAGAGTAAATGTACATGTACAATCTCAGCTGGATAATCAAGCAAGTTGAGAACTTGATTTCCATCAACCTTTCATATTTATTTGGCATGTACTACAGACACAATGACAGCTGTCGGTCACAAAAGCATTTATTGGTATGTTTTGATAAAAGGTTATCCAACTATGGATTTTGAATTGTATTTGTTATGGACCAACACTTAGCATGTTAAAAGCATAGTTAGAAGTCCCTTTTTTTTTAAAATAGGTTCTGTGCACACTGGACTTTATATACCCGAAGGTCTGATCCCTCCAATTATTTAATTTACTTAATTCTTAGTTTATCTATGTGTTAAGGTATATAGGATGTTTTGCAGCCTTGCCTAATCTAAACCCTTCAAAGTACTTTGCGTTGGATTACAATGCTCACAATTTCCTTTATTCACTTTTTTTTTTAAATTTACCCTAGTTCTACACCTCTTATAAATGCATTATAAACTTAGATATTGCTTCCTGTGCAGTGATTCCATGAATATGTTCTACAGGGCAGGCTTTTAAAACACATGACTGACTAAGAAGAAAGCTAAATTCGTTTAAAGAGTTCAGGGTTCTATTTTGCTTTAAAAAACAAACAAACAAATCCTTAGAAATAGAGTTATATAAAATGCCAATAGATAGTATCACAACGAGCAAGTGCATTTTTGTAGCCTGTGAAACAAACTAAATATTCTTGACTATAATGAATTAATTTGTTTATCAAAATGGCATCGTATTTCTTTGAGACATCTTTACGGCCACTGAAAAGTTTTCACTGCTTTATGGACAGGCATGCTTTAAGGAATGTTTGTATAGACTGTATGCAACATTTATAATGTTTTTTTCTCCTGTGTGGAGATTTAGCAGAGAAATGCTGCCACAGCTTAGCAGGATTTAACCCAGGAAAGTGAAGGGAGATCAGATGGCACATTCAGATCATTGCCCACATGGGTACTACAACCCCCGTGTTCCTGTAGCAGTTCCTATTCACAGAAACTAATAGAAGCAACCAAGAGTTCTTTCCTAAGAGTGCCTGTCACTTTTGCTAAAAGTCTGACATGCAGAGAGAGGACAAGTGGGGAACTTAAACATCACAGCCAATTCAGCCAGAAGCTGCCATTAAGTGGGGATTGCTCTGAACCATCCTATGTGACTCTTTTAAATCAGTTCATTTTACTCACGTGTGTCAACTTACCTGTGACGGATAACAATAATGCAAAGAGAACTCCTGGGAAAGATTTGCCTTTCGTTGCAACAGGAGCTAAAACATCAAAGCCCACAAAGCAAAGGTCTTACTGACTTTTAATGCCTATTTTAGATAAAAGCCACAAATGCAAAAACTCACAAACTTTTGAGCTGCGAGAGGAAGTTGTGAGCACTAATTTTTAGGTGGGGAAAACCCTTCTCCCCCAGAGACTGGTTACATGGGGAAAACCCTGTACCCCCAGAGAGATGGAATTTGATTACTCCCATTCTTTGATGGGCCTTTTTGATTTTTTTTTTTTTATTCTCCCACTCAGAAACAAAGCTACTGGATCTAGGATGTGGAGCCAAAACCCAGCCAGAGATTAACTTTCTTCTAGAGCCCCATTAGAGATAAGAGAATCTATTATTTACATCAACGGCATTTTGAAGCTGTTGGACTAGATTGAAAATGAACGGTAACCAGGGTTATGGACTGCTAAGAAAGAGACTCTGTAGAGACTCAACTTCATTGTGGCTACTACACTCAACCAATGTAGGAAGTAGGGGAGAATCCTACGTGAAAAAAGGGACAATGTTCTGGCTGTAGCAAGGAGGACATTACTAACAGTAATGTAGACCAGACTTTTACTGAAGCTGTAGTCATCAAATTGCAGGCCGGCACATTCTTTTACCTCCACGGACAAAGTAATAAACTGGACAAAGTAATAAACTGGACAATGCCGGCCTTCCTCCCTTCCCCCTCCGTCAATCTAGTAAAGGGAAACAACAACATACCCAAAATGTCTGTCCAAAGTCTTCCTCCTCCATCGTTGAGGTTCAGCTAATGTGCAGAACCCATGCTGAAATTAAAACAGAAAACCCAAAGAAAGTCAACTGAAGAGTTGAAGAAAAGTCATCTGTGGAAACAGAATAGGGTTAAATCCAGATTATTTTCACAGTTATGGAAGCCTTGGATCTTCAGCTGAGCCACAACACTTCGGCTGCTGACCAGTTCCTCAAGCAAAGAGGAGCACTTGGGGCAACTTTGTAGCACAGCGTTTTTCAAGATTGGTGGTTTTAAGGTGGATGGATTTCAGCTCCCAGAATTCTGGCAGTCCACCCATCTTAAAATCACCAAAGTTTGGGAGACATTGATGTAGCAAAAAGCCTACAATAACCATCTAGAAAGACGTTTGATGGAAGCCAAAGGACTTTCAAAGTTATCACATCCTACTTGCAAACCCTCGTCCAACTAACATTTTAATAACTCCTTTTGTAGCAGAGCGAAACTTGAGCTTTGAGAACTTTGTGGCTTGTGAGTTTATTTGCAATAAGCAAAGAGAGAACCACATAGATAATGAATAAACTGAAACCAACATAGCCTGCATCTCATTTCATCACATTTTAAGGTATGGATGATTGTTATAAAAAGATTCTTGCTGGATTAAGCGACATTTCAATGAAGATTCACAACACTTGTGTTTCTAATTTTTGGAAATCTAACCATATTTTAGAGATGCAGATATGCACACCTACACAGTGGATTCACACATGTGAAGCCTGGTTTACTTAAATAGGCTTAATGAATTAACCACAAGTCTGCACTGTGTGCTAAGCCACAAACATTATTTTCGAACTGCAGTGGCCCACACAATGCTGAAAAAAAACATCCACATCATGAGTTGGGGTGATAGAAACTGGGCAAAACTCTTCCCAAGAGAAAACCTACTAATTGTGTAAGGGCACAACGACTTCCTGGTGCTGAATTGTGCCCTAGTTGTCTATATCAGCATGACTTTTTTAAAAAATAATTCTATCCATGAAATATTTCATCTTTCCTATTTCTTCCCTGTACAAAGAATGAACATTTTTACACCTCCACAATCATATGTGAAAAGTGCGGAGTAAATAAAGAATTATTAATTTTGAGTGGACTTACCCAAGTCACCCTCTTTTTGAAAAAAAAAGTCTCTTGATATTATTTGCCAGACCTACAACCAGAAATAGAAAAAATTAGAAGCCAACACACACTTGGTATCTATCCTCAGTGAAATTTAAAACAATCACCTTGCTATATTGTTTCAAAATAGCTTAAGGCAAGTTAGCACCTTCAGAAATAAACATAAATAAACAATATCCCACTATGTTTTCAACTAGCATCAGCTTAAACACTGAAACCAAACTTCCACAAATGATAATTTTTAAAATACAGATTGTTTTCCAAAGTGCATCCTCTTTTTAATTCATCATCACGGTGTCTAAATCACACGTGTTCCTTCCCCCATTTTTATCCTCTTATAAAAGTGATTTGGAAACTAACCAGGATTAACATATTGATAACGGATCTCCAAACTCTCCTCTTAGCCTAACCATCTTATTGCACAGCTCTTAAACTTTTGCAAGAACTTGCAGTCTCCCACTTTGTGCAACTAAGTTTTATTGCTTCTTTTAAATGGAGCACAAGGGAAGGGAAGGCTCCACATACTGTACGTTAGAATGCCAGTAAAAGTTTTCCCTCAAAAGTGCTGACGAAGACCAGTATTTTAATTCCCTGGAGGTTTTCCGTTTGACTTAGTGTCGCCTCCTCTAGGTGTAAAGACTGCATTACAGACTTAAAAAACAAACTCTTAAAAACACCATTTGTTCAAACCAAGACGGTGGGGAAGTAGAAAATCTAACCAGAATCAGCATCCATTTAATAGGACCTGCTTGTGAGCGCGGGCACACAAGCACACAAACACACACACACACACAACAAATTATCTTCTTAAGATCTGTCGCCCGTTTTGCGCACTTTTCTAGCAGAAACGTTATGACTTAGGATTTCAAAAAGGCAGGTTTTCTACCCCACCCAGCACACCACTGCAGAATTAGACAATTACTGACTCTAAACTTTGAGGGTTGTTCCTGCCACGGTTACACAAGATTTTTTTCCCCCTTTTGCTCTGTTTTTGTGTGCATTTTTTTAAAGGTCTGCACAGAGAGGAGAAAAAAAAATTCCTCCGCAACCCCTCAAAATTTTCTAGCTGCTGCATGGATATGATTAAAAGAAGAGAACGTACAGTTTTTATCACCACCCATATTATATTCTTGCACTCAGCTTATTTTGTAGAAGTTCCTCTGTCCTTTTACTCTTTACATTTCCTGTATTAAAATACCAGCAAAAAAGGTATAGCAAAATGCAAGAGTTGTATTGATTTTATGTATATAAAAAAGTCAAACTGTTAGAAAATTTTAGATTAAATTGGATATCTTGCAAATTTCCTGCACAGTACGTTTTTTTTGTAAAAAAAAAACAAACACCAATTATTGAATAAGAATGTTTGAAAGTATATAACTGAACTTTTTGCAATTTTTTTAAAAATATACAGGAACAATTTAAAAAAATCTAAATTAGGTTTCTTAAGGGATAAACAAATATTTTTTAAGTTAATTCTGTAATTTAAAAACTAACTTGTTTATACTAGTTCATAATACCATTATTTTAATCAGTTTCTTAAATTACATTTCAATCAATTGTTGTAAAATAAAAAACTGTAGTAATATAAAGTATAATATTGGGCAAAATAATTTCTAAAATTGTTTATTTTTTAAAAAAGACTTACACTCTATAAAAATTAGTCATTTATATGCTGTGTATTTTTTAAGACTAATGGACTTTTATATGAAAAAATTGAATTTATTGTTTCTGTGCCTTTCAAAATTTTTAATACAACTCTTATAAAATCCAAAAACAAATTTTCTACGTTTCCACTGGAAACAGGCCACTTTGAATTCAAACCACTTACTCCAATCAATTTATCTCCCAGACAAGGGCCGGCAAAAAAACCTTTGTATTTTATATTTCAAAAGCTTTTTTAAAGAAAAAAGAAAAAAAAACATTTTTAATACTTAAAAAGTGAAATGAAACCATCTTCTCTCTCTCTCTCTCTCTCTCTCTCTCTCTCTCTCGGAAGGCAATTGAAAATTGTCTTTTTTTTTTGGCAAGCACTTTTGCTCGGTAGAAACTGTGTTTTTGGGTTTTTTTGACGGGGGGGGAAAAGTCTTTTTTTTTTTTCTGCAATTGATTTCCCTTGGAGGAAAAAATTCAGCGGTGCATCAGTTTAACTCTTGCCCTCCCGGCCCACGTCCGCCGGGGTTGCAGCCTTCCTGGGGGGGGGGGGACGAAGGGAACTCAAGATAGAAAGAAGCGGGGGGGCGCTTCAAGTCCCCCCGACCTCCCCGGCTTTGGCCCCTGTCACTTTCGCCGCCCCTGCCCTGCCCGAGCTCTTCCCCCACCCTTCCCTCCCTCCCTCCTTTTCCGCGGGGGGGGGGCGCTGCGGTTGCAAACTGCGAGGGACCCCCCCCCGGTCCTCGAAAGCTTCGCCCCCTTCCCTTCCCTCCGCCACGCGCGTTTTTCTCCGGGAAGGACCCCGGGAGCCTCCCCCGAGGGAGCGGCGGGCTGGGAAGGGGCGGCCGGGCCGAGGCGACCCACCCCGCCGGCCGCGGCTCGCCGCCTCCCCCCCGCTCCGAGCCCCGCAGGCGCTGCCGGGCGCGGATGGGCTCCGCCGGCGCGACTGCCCGGCCGCTTCCTCGCTGTATCCATATTTAGCTAAAAAGTAACTGGCGGAGGAAGCGGAGACGGAGAGAAGGCGGCGCGGGGGGGGCGAGGGTGGCGGCGCCGGCCCTCCCTGCGGGGGGGCGGGGGGAGATGCGGGGCCGGGTCCCGCCCGCGGGGCAGGGTAGCGCCGCCCCCCCCCGCCCGTGGCAGTGGCCGAGGGGGGGGCTTCCCCTCCCTCCCTCCCTCCGCGGACTCCGCGGCCCCCCCGCGCAGAAAGCAGGCCCCTCAGGCTCCCCCGCCGCCCCTCCCGCGCCGCCAAAAAAGTTTGGCCACTTTGACGGGCGGGCGGGGGAAGGAGGTCTCCAGGCGACCCCCCGCTTCGGGCGGCTGCTTGGCCCGGTGAGGAGCGCCCCCCCCCGTAGCTCCGCGGGGGGAGCAGGGGGGCCGGCCGGTGCTCGCCCCCCCGCGCGCCGCCTCCTCCTCCCCCTCTCCCGCCCCCCTCCCCCCTCTCCCGCCCAGCCGCTGCTCCCGCGCCCGCCCGGCCTTCCCGCGCCTCTCCCGCGGCCGCTCCGGGCCGGGGGGATTTTTAGGGATTTTTTGGCGATTTTTGAGGCTCCCCCCGCGGCCCCCCCGGCCCGGGGCGCCCTTCTTTTCCCCGCCCTCCCTCCTCACCTCCGAGTCCACTCGAAAATGGCGCCGAAATCGAAAAAACTTTGCAAATTTCATTGTAGCGCGTGCAAAGGCTGCTGGGAGGGGGGGCGGCGGCGGGCAGGCACCGCCCAGGCCTGGGGGCGGGGCCGGGAGGGGCGCGCGGCGGGCCCTGCGCGGGGGGGTCGGAGGAGGAGGAGGGGGGGGCTGGGCCGGCGCGGGGAAGTTTGCGCGGGGCTGCGCGGGGCGCTGCGGGCAGGGAAGCGCCGGAGCCTTCCCTGGCGGGGCGGTCGCGCTGAGCGCAGAGATTTCCCCAAAGACTCCTGGCAGGTCCCGCAAAAGACGGTCTCGACTGGAGGGAGGCCCTTGCGAAGCCCCCGGGCCGGCCGAGGAAGGGAAGCCGGGGCGGAAGGTGCGGGGTCGGGGCCAGCCTCGCCCAGTCCGGACAAAATCAAAGTCCGGATTTCCTGGCCCATCACCGCGGGGAGGTCAAAAAAGGCGCCCGCGCCTGCCCTCCAAGTCCCGCGTGCGGCTGCCTCCGTGGCCCCTGCCGACCCCCTCCTGCCCCTCCGCCTCGCGGGGCGTCTCTCCCCCTGCAGAACATCGGATACAGCTGTTTGCTGCAGATGTGCTGGAGGACAACTCCCATCCAGGGGGGGCAGTCAGCAGAGGGTGGTCGGTGAGGAAGAGCTTTAAAGAATGGCCTTTTTTCAAGGGAGCCTCCAGAGGATTTTGATTGGGGAGTAAATCAAGATTCGTTGTTCTCGCCATGCACATATATATATATCACCTGAACTAGACTGTTGTTTCTCTGTGTTGTATAATATATGTAGGTATAGGCATAATTATGTATGTATGTATGTATTTTGGTCATATTTATGGTGTAGATCGGAGGCGGTGACCCTTTGAGAGCTGAATGCAACGAAATTTCATTTTAATGTATGCCGGTTAGTGTACGCTCAAAGTGACAATAAAGTTCTTATTCTATTCTAAGTCCTCCTTTTAATGGCCGAAGCAGCTGGAAATGCGTGTCTGCACTGTGAGCATTAAGCAGAGCGCCCAAGTGGACAGAGCCAGGAAGGCCCCTCAAAATGCTCGGATCGTAGGTAGTCCTTGACTCATGAGCACAACTGAGCCCAACGTTTCTCTTGCTAAGCGAGACATTTGTTGAGTTTTGCCACAATTAAGGGAATCACTGCTGTTCAGTTAGGAACACGGTTGTTCAAGTGAATCTAGCTTCCCCATTGACTGAAGGTCACAAAAGAGGATCACGTGAGCCCGGGACACTGTAACAGTCATAAATGTGAATCAACTTCCAGGCATGCAAATTTCGATCACGTGATCACAGGGATGCTGCAACAGTCACAAGTGTGAAGAAACGGTCCTTTTTTCAGTGCCGCTGTAACTTTGAACTTTCACTAAAGGAATTGTTGTAAGTCAGGGACTGCCTGTACAGAGCCATAGGGCAAAACTTATTCAACCAAGGGACCTCAAAGGGTCTAATTTGCGGGATCCAGGCCCTTTTGACCCCACAGGATGGGATTCAGGTCGTGGTATTGGCTGTCTTTATACACTCTCAAGAGAGGCTCAGTCCTTTTGCTCTTGTAAGAAGAGTCAAACATTCAGAAGAGCAGAAACCCCAGAGAACCTTCCTTGGTATTTGGGGTCTGTTGTTGTGTGTGTTCTCTCCACATAATAGTGTAGCGTGCACTGTTGACAGCACTTAATTTCATTGTGAGTTACACAATGACAATAAAGATATTCTATTCTATCCTATCCATAATAAGAATAGAGCTGGAAGGGACCTTGGAGGTCTTCTAGTCCAGCCCCCTTCTCAAGCAGGGGTCCCTATCTCATTTCAGACAAGTGGCTGTCCAGCCTCTTCTTAACCACCTCCAACGATGAAGCACCCACAACGTCTGAAGGCCTGGCAAGGACAGGAGGCAAGTGATGGGGTGGTCCTTGGCTGCCTTTTTAGACCCCCTCCCTTCCGCTCCAGAGAGAAACAGCCACGGGGTCTCCCAGCCCGGAGCCCCCAAGCGTGTGAGATCCACCACCGCAGGATGGCTGAGTTGACACATTACGGAGGCTGGAATAAACCCACCAGATGATGGATGGACTTTCTGAGGGAGCCTCTGTCTGTCTCGGCTTGTGGTGTTGTGGTGGACGGCGACTGGGCTGCACGTCCTGGAGCGAGATTCGTCAAGAGGTTTTCCCACTGCAACTTTTAATGATGGGGTTCTGCTTCTTGGCCCAGGCATGGAAAGTGGGGATGAGGCGGTTGGGTCCTTCTGCCCGGCTACTCAAAAAGGCCACGAGGCCGTTGAGAAGGAAGGTGTTTCATTACAGGGCCAGCAAAACCTTGTGGAGGTAATCCTCAAATTACAACCGTTTGTTTAGTGACCATTGAGACTTTCAGCGGCACTCTAAAAAGTGACTTATGGCTGTTTTTCACCCTTACTATGGTTGCTGTGTCCCTTTTGCGACCTTCTGACAAGCAAAGTTGGAGGGGAAGCTAGATTCAGTTACTGCAGGGATTCACTTAACAACTGTAGCAAGAAAGGTCGTAAAATGGGGCAAAACTCAACAACAGTCTTGCTTAGCAAGAGAAATGTTGGGCTCAGTTGTGGCAATGGCACTCTTGTAATGTGTAATGGCAGTGGGACACACCTCTTTTGGCCTCTTTTCCCAGGTTACCAGTTGGAGTCTCTCTTGCGTACAGACCAGCCTTTCTCCTCACTCAGCTTGGTGTCCCTGACTCTGGGCATGCTTGGAGGGCAACTCCCCCTGTACCTTAAGACTGGTGGACACCAAGTCCCAGAATTCCTGAGTGGAGGGGGAATTCTGGGAGTCAAAGTCCACACCTTTTAAAAGAGGCTGAGGTCGAGAAACCCTGACCTAAAGTCAAAAGCTGCTAATCTTGTCAAGAGACCAGCAAACTGCTTCACACACAACGCTGCCAAGGTGCTGAGACCCTGGTGGTTGACACAATCTTCTTTGCAATGGGCGAAACACTGAAAAATTAAGTTTTTGGAGCAGCTGCTGAAGTTTTCCTCATCACTTCCAGGGATATGTTGTGGGCTGGGAGAGAGACCTACTGGAAGGAAAAAGGGAAACTGCTTGCTAAGGCCTGGTTGTGCAACTGATTTTTTTTTTCCTGATCAGCAAAAGTGAGGAATGTCTCTTATCCAGAAACGAGTCTGCAAATTCTATTGACCAGCCCTGATTTCTCATCCCAAACTCAAGAGCTCTGCTGTCAGGCAAGGCTGGCTTTTATTCCGTCTGTAAAACCCACCGAGGAGCCGGCCTCCGGTTGCTCTGCTCTTCAACTTCCTTTTTCAAGATGATCTAGCGGCCCAGTTGTTTTTCTTTCTGCCGTCAAAACCAGAGGGAGGAAAAAAAAAGACAAAAAAAAAAAAAAAAAAAAAAAAAAGAAAAGAAAGAGGAAGATGTTATTTAGCTAAACATGAAACTGAGCAAAGGAACAACTTCCTGCTGGCTGTTTAGGCTGTTATCTTCCTGCTCTGGAAGAATTCAGACTTTGCCTCAGAGGGATTAACGTGAATTAAGACCAAAGAATGTTTCTGTGCAGTTTCACCTAATTTCAATCCCTCCCCCTCCGCCCCAACCCAACCTACGCGAATGGGCTTTGGTGCTTGTTTGTTTGAAACGGTGTAATTATCTGCACATGCTTTTTCAACGATGGGTTGCACGTTATTTGTGTTGTGTGGCTCTCTTGCTTTTTGCGATTTTGGAAACTCTTTTCACTGCAATTAGAGACATGCCACTTGCTAAAACGCTAAAAGTTAGGTAATGGATGGGTGTGAAGGCCAACACCAGCTAAAGAACTGGCAGCTGTGACTTGTTGTGAACAGATAAATAATAATACAGCAGAAGAGATAAAACAGGGTGAAGACAGAAAATACAAACAGCTGCAAATAGCAGTGGAAAAGAAAGCCAGGCTAATACCCAGAGTGGGTACAATCCCAAAATATCTGGAGCATCACTTGAACCCCACTGGCATTGACAAAAATCACCCCCGTCAATTGCAAAAGGCAGCTTTGCTTGCAACAACTGATCCTGCGGCAGGATCCTGAATACCATCAAACTAGAACTCCTTGCCCCGAGTCCTTGGGAAGGACTCAGTAGTGGATTAGACTGGCAAGTCCAGTCTAAACATCTGGCTGACTGAGCATAATACTGAGAACACCATTAATCTCTTACCTGTTATAGTGATCTGAATGCCAGATCTCTTGTCTTTCAGCTACCTTGTTTACTCTCGACTTTGTAAAATGAATAGGAAAGGTCTCTTCCTGTGTTAGTCACTGTTTGCTGGTAGATTTCCCTCAGAGCTTTCTAGAATATAACATATTCTGCTAGTTCAAGGTTTAATTCCTAAGATGCTTAATATATTTGGAGAGTGTGGATCCATTAAGTTTATTAGTGCTTTATTTTAAATTATACTAATTTATTATTAGATTTCCCCCCCTTTTCAAAAAATATTTGGCGGGACTAGAACTCAGAATCTCTTGGTGATTGGCCCAAAGTTACCCAACTGGCTTTCAGGCCTAAGGCGGGACTAGAACTCACCGTCTCCTAGTTTTTAGGCCAGCACCTTCCCCACGATACCAAAGTAGCTTTCAAATGATAAGGAAGAATTTTATAGTAATTGAAAAATTAACATTTTTATTTTGTCACAAGCTCATCTGTGTAAGATTTATCGAGCTTAAATGAAATACTAATATGTTTAGGGCCCAACTAAGCTTCGGCTCTATCTACTTATAGGGGGAAAGGCAGACTTAAATACACAGTGACTTTTGTATTTTCCCCTTGGCTACGGAGAAGTTCTTCCCGCGCTGTCATCCCATCTCTGCGCCAACGTAACAATGGGGATAGTCCATTTTCACAATGTCACTTCAGCTATGGATGAGCAATACGATGAACACAATTATGAAAGGACCTGTTGGATACAGAAATGGATTGTGGAAATTAAATTTCACTTTTCTTCCAGTCCTACTAAGCAGTTTTTAAAGGTAAGAGCCAGAAAATTATTTCTTCCGCTGGGTCTGTTTAAGGGCAAAAAGATCTTTCTTCATCCCATCATTTAAAAAACCTGCCAATTGCATACTTACTTGGAGGGGAAAGCATGAATCCGAAAACAAAGGCATCCTGAAGCAGACCCGGGGCAATTACTTGTTGCCGTGTGCTTTCCACTTGCAACCTCAGGTTCCTCTGGACTGCAAACCCATTCAACTTTGACTTCTGCACCAGCTGTGAGCCCGTAGAACTCTATATTTATATTTATTATGAATGCAAACCTCTGGGGATGGTGGCAAACGCAGCCAAAAATACTGTGGTGTGGTGTATGCACTGTGTGTGTGCTTTTTAATGGCTAAACTTTTGACCTGCACCCAAGAGGGGGTGGAGAAAAATGAGGCACCGAGCCACTTTCTGAGAGTCCTCAACTATAATAAGAGCAGCTCCTTTCCCAAAGCTCTGAATAGAGGCAAACCTTGTAAACTGCATTATATACCTTAGGAACGTGACCTGCACTTTTCTAGCAGAAAGAAAAAGAGTTCAAACTAGACGGTTGGAGGGGGGGGCAGTGTTTGCAAAGTGGATGGATTCAGGATAGTGATGGGTGTCCGCAGGGATAGACGTTGGCACATAAACCCACAAGCCATAAATAAAAAAAAATGGAAAGAGACTGAGATAGTGGTCTCCCTCCATATCGGTTTGTTGCACATTTTCCGCAGCTGGGAATTAAGTCCGGGCGTTGTTGAAGTGGGGCTGCTTATCTCTTAACTGGTAGGCCAAGTGCTCGCTTACTCAGGCACTTGTCTGTGGAGGTTCTCAATCCTCCAGTTGTGGCTGCCCCAAAGGTGCTTTTCCAAAAGGCAGCTGGACTTTGTTTTTCCTTGAAGACGTTTCGCTTCTCATCCAAGAAGCTTCTTCACTTCCGCTCTCAATTCTTCAGTTCTGAAGAAGCTTGAATAGAATAACAGAGGTGGAAGGGACCTTAGAGGTCTTCTAGTCCAGCTCCCTGCTCAAGCATTCCAGACCAATGGCTGTCCAGTCTCTTCTTATAACCCTCCAGTGATGGAGCATCCACAATTTCTGGAGGCCAGCTGTTCCACTGGTGAACTGTTCTGTCAGGAAATTTCTCCTTAGTTCTAGGTTGCTTCTCTCCCTGGTTAGTTTCCATCCGTTGCTTCTTGTCTTGCCTTCTTGGACGAGAAGCAAAATGTTTTCAAGGAAAAACCCAACATAGTTGCCTTTAGGAAAAGCACGTTTGGGTTGCTAACCCAAGCTTGTTCGCCATGTAAAGATGGAGACTTGCAGACTCTTCAAAGGTTCAACCAAGATTTCTTGAGTTTTGACTTGAGTCTTGATGCAGATCCACTAACCTAATTTCCTGATGCATCCAGATGACTTCCATTCCTTGCTTACCAGATGCTTGCAGACATGTGCAAATTTCTCCCTCAGGCAAGCAAACCGCTGGCCTAAAGCTGGCCTGTTGCTTCCACCTCATCCCCCATCTCCCATCCCTTCAAATCCCTCCTCCCTGTTACCTTTCACTCCGAGTTTACACTTACCCAGGGGAATAAAAATAGCACCACCAGCTGCGTGACGTCACTGTGGTCCACAGCCCACTTCCTGTGTTTAACCGCTCGTTTTTTTGCTAATGCCAACCCTGTTCATGGCTTGCCCATCAGTAATGCTTGCTTGGGCTCCGCTTGGATGGTCGATTCCTTCAACCTAACCCTTCCCTTCCCAAGGACCGGCTCAGAAATGACACAGCAAGGGGATCCTGCACTGGGGAGGGGGAGGGAGAAGAGGGGGTGGAACGAGGACCTTTCATAGCAGTGAGAAGCCACTAGAGGGAGAATCCGGAGGTGAGGGAAGGGGTTGGTTTTCGCCTTCGTTTCTGTAACTCAAGACTTGTTATCACACACATACAATTATGAACTTCCCCTGAAGGGGAGAATCCTGAACAGATGAACCTGTGTCTGCAGCCCGGGAGGGAGGGAGGGAGGGAGAGAGGAAAGGCACGGCTGGAAAAAGCATGAATCATCCAAGATAAAATTGCTGACTTGGGCGAGCTTTACGCCCAAGGTGCTGTGGTGCACTGGCTCCCAATTTAGCCTCGGCCCCACTGCAGATCGGCCTGCTTAGGAAGCGTTTCTGGAGCAGGACAGCTGCAAAGGAGCCCGCCTGGCTTCTGCAGGAGGCACGCCGTGAACCGCGTGAACCGGAAGAGCGAGGTGCGGGGAAGAAAAATCCTAACTGGCCTGTAAGGCCACTGAGCATCGTGGGCAGAGCTGATGTGGAGGAGCCATGCACATGGGGCAAACACCACCCAGCTTCTACAGATAGTCCCCGACTTACAACAGTGCGTTTAGTGACCCTTAGGAGTTACAACGGCACTAAAAAAAGGGACTTATGACCATTTTTCACACGACCGTTGCAGCATCCCCATGGTCAGGTGACCCAAATTCAGATCCCTGGCAACTGCTTCATATTTATGACGATCGCAGCGTCCCGGGGGGGTGTGTGTCACGTGATCCCCCTTTACAACTTTCTGACAAGCAAAGTTAAAGGGAAGCTTGGTTCACTTAACAGCTGTTACTGACTTATCAACTGCAGCAATTCACTGAACAACGGTGGCAAGAAAGGTCGTAAAATGGGGCTAAGGCTCACTTAACAAATGTCACACTTAGCAACGGAAATTTTGGGCTCAACTATAGTCGTAAGCCGAGGACTGCCTGTGCTTGAATGTACTTGTGCGCTTTTGAACAAAGCCGACTTTGTGTCCTCTTTGGGATTCAGGCCGACCCCCCTACAGAAGCATCTGTGCCCTTTTGGGAAGAACTGTTTGCCAGACTTCTGCAGGTTTTGCAAATGGAGAGGTGTGCTTTTGAAGGAGCGTACCTGCCCCTTGTGCCCAAATTTTAGTATAAAGACACTGAAGGGGAAAAGAGGAAACCTGGAGGTGGAGATTTCAGTCACGACACAATGACACAAAGACGGCCATCTCTATTAAGCTTATTGTCCTTCGACGCCAAGCAGAATTGGAAACGAGGTCAGAGCGACCTCGTTCTCGTGAGCAATTTTCCACGGAAACGAATCCGGCGAGTTGGACTTTTGAAGAAGCAGACTAGGAAGGGTACTGACAGCCCAACTTTGGTGTTAGAGAAGACTTCTGAGAATACTTTGGACGGCCCAGAAAACAAACCAATCGGTCATCCAACAAGTTGGCCTAGAGTTTTCACTCTGGGCAGGCTCCAATGATCCAACCAAGGACACATTATGTGAAGACCTGGCTCTCTGGAGCTCTAATGCTAGGAGACGTGGAAAGAGAAAAGGATGATCAGCCGGGCACAGATGAAGGTTGCAATGCCAAATGAATGCAGCTCTGGAAGATCGGAAGGACCAGGTCATCATGGAGAATGTTGACTTATCCTATCTGGTCAAGGATCAACAATGACTCAATGGCATGTAATCAACCAGGCACTGCAGTTTTGAAGTTCCAGTGCTAACTAAAACAAGCCAATGCAATGCAGCAGTGGGAAGCAGAGGTAAAACCTGTTGGAAACCATTCTCTGAAATTCTAGAATTAGGTCTGCTTATGCATCAGGCTAGATCTAGACAAACTTGCCTAGCATACCCCACAACAGCTACAACTACCACAATATTGGAGGATGTTTCCAAACGGTTCACTGCAAATACACAGCATTTTATGGTTCCCTAGGTACAAACAAGACTTGTTCCGGTGACCACTTTTTCAAACCAACGTATAGTACGGTAGGTGTTTAAAGCTATTTTCGACATGTTTTTTGTGCCCTCTTGTGGCCACAGAAATGGATCAGATACAAGGCCAGTTATTGCTTGGTTCTCTATTGCAGATAGTTCTCAGTTTACGACCAGTTGATTAGTAACTCGTCATGACAGACCTGTCAAAAGGTACTGATGACCCAATTTCAAAGTGATGCTAGATGCACACCCCATCATGACGGTCAGCAGTGACTGCAGTTATGTGACTGCAAATTTTGGTGTTTTTTCCAGCTTCTGGCAAAAATTGTCACTGGGTAAAGCAGATTTGCTTAATGACAGATGCAAGAAATGTTGAAAAATCAGGTCGTCAAACGACGTCTGGACTTACAACTATAATTCTGGACTCAACTGCGGTGATAAGCAGACAACTATCTATAGCAGGCATGTCAAACTGCCGGCCCACGGGCCAGATGCATCATGCCAAAACCGCACCCACCCCATTGTCAGCAATGGGGGAAAAAGTCTTGATACGCCACGCAACGTCGCAAGTTTGACATGCCTGATCTACAGTACATAGTGTATAATGTGCGTATCTGAAAACATGTTCATTGCTTAATTTTGTTTAGGACCAGCAAGAGCACAATGCCCCGAGTGTCAGCAGGGGGTCTCCAAATTGAGAGCTCCTGTCTGCAGACGGACAATAGAGGCTCAAGAAAGCAGGCAACTCCATAGGATTGTAGTCAAATAATTCTATGGCGAAAAAGGTTAAAATTTAGATCACTGTGTATTTTGGCTTTGTCATCCATGCCCATTTTAGTTATGTAGAAGCCAAAGTGTTTTCAAGACTTGATGCTTGTAAATGCAGATAGTCTTCAACTTACGACAGTTTGCTTAATGACTGAAGTTACAACTGCACTCAAAAAAGGACCATTTTTCACACTTGTGAGCATTGCAGCATCCCCGTGGTCATGTGACTTGCATTTGGATGCTTGGCAGCCAACTCATATTTACGACGGTCGCGGTGTCCCACAGGGGTCACGTGATCCCCTCTTGCGACCTTCTGACAAGGAAAGTCAAGGGGGAAGCCCGATTCGCTTAACGTCTTCAATGATTCACTGAACAACCGTGGCAAGAAAGGTCGTAAAATGGGGCAAAACTGAACAAATTTCTCACTTAGCAAAATAAATTTTGGGGCTCAGTTACGGGTCACAAGTCACCTGCAGAGACCGAAAGGAATGAAAAATCAACTAAATTAGGAAGGCTGAATTTTCTCCCGGCTGACCCTGCCAGTTGAATTTGGGATCCAGCAAAACCGCAAGGCGAGCTCTAAGCTTTGCAGCCCCGGGAACCTCTTTCCCAAACGCAAAGAGCAAGAAGAATAAAAAAAGTACTGAAAGAAAGAGAAAATGACGAAGATCAAAATTCCCTCCCCAGGGTTCGAGTACCAATAAGCAGTAGCAACAGGTATCTGCGTAAGCGTGTACAGGACTCGCTTCCTGGAACCATTCGTGCTGCTGAACAAGGAAAGGTGTCACTGAATATTTTATAATATTTATTGGAAGTGGGGAAACTAACTCTCCAGTGAGATTACAAGAACGGAGGCACAACTGGCCCAAAATGTAGCACTTGTTACAATTCCAAACAAACACTTCCAAAACCAAAATGCTCCAAGTACGGAAAAGGAAACGTCCCCTTTTAGAATGAAGTCTTCCCTACAGGTCTTCCTTCCCCTCTTTCCCCTCCCCAGAGAGACAAACAATGGCAGAGGTTCCTGTGCTTTGCAGGTCAGCACAATCCGATGTCAAATTCAGTGCTATTATCTTACCCAAAGGGGGGAGGAACCCCCCCAAACTTGGATTTTGACAAAAAAAGAGCATGTGGATATTCACAAATATTTAAAAGGGGAAACATACCTTTTTTTTTTGGCAGACAAGGTTGCCGATTCAATACTAGCCAGCACTCATGAAACATAAAAAAGAGTTTCAATCATAAAAAAATACTATAATTCAACACCAGACTTTTTTTTTTTACAGTTATAAATAATAAATAGCATAACACAGTAGATTACAAGTGGATCTCTTTTCTGTTGGTTAAGCCTGGTTAGATCTCAAGAAGTAAATAAATCATTTGCTGTGGCCCAAACGGAGCTTAAGGTATTACACGTTATCCCTCCTGATTTAAAGGGAAGCTCCTTACGGACCAACGGAGCTTCCAGCCCAACAAGCAGGGAGCCTGTCTGGCAATCAAGCCCGTCTTGTGGCTGCTGTCTTCCAGGCAAGCCCCACGCAGCGCGGGGCAATCCCCAAAGAGCCGGGAGGACCTTCTCCCTCTCGAGCCCCTCAGCAGCCAGCAAAGAGCAGCGGGACAGCAGCACCTGGCACAAGCCCTCCTTAAAGAACAGTCTCCCCCCTCCACCCAGGTCCTCCGCTTACATTCTTCTACTAGGTCTCCTAAGGCACAAACGTTGCTCAGTGCCACGGGAGACACCGACTATTTGACATACTCTACGTGATAGCCAAAACAATTGCCCCTTTCCCCTCAAAATAGTTTTGCAACTGGTCATCCCTGCAGCCTTGGAAGCCATCTCTATGCAACCCCAGAAACAGCAGGTGAGTTAAACCTCCTCCGTCTGTGACGGATATTCAGCTGCAACGCAAAGCGTTCTGGCTCCCGAGGTGATGGCAGCCACTGTTTGAACCACAAAGGGCCGTTTGCAACCTCTTCCTCTTCTCTGGAAATGAAAAAGTAGAAGATGAACTGAGATATAAAGAAGTTCCTACCATAAGAAAATTATTTAGGAGCATTGTGAATGGAGGGGAGAGGGGAAGAGGCCCAGAATGTGCCACTGTTCAGCAGAAGCAGTTCATTTTTTTTCCTTAAATGAATTTCTAGAGCAATCTAGGTTATTCCTTTAAAAAAGCACGTTGAACAAGGACAGTTTTCTAACAATTCTCTCACTACCATCCTTTACCGCCAGAACACACGACCATGATAGCAACAGCAAAAGGTTTTCCCGCCTACCATTTTCACACTAATATAAATTAGGTGCTTGTCTGAAAAATTCTAAAAAGCGTTGCAGTTTCTTTGAAAGCAAAGATAGCAATGATCTCAACAGATACAGGTAAAAATAATGGGTTGGGTTTAAAAAAAAAAAAAAAGCTGCAAAACCAGACAGCCAAAAGATCTATCCCAAGGGCCTGACGTGTCGGTTTAAAGAGAAAGATCATCAAAACCACTTGAAGAAGTTGCCAAGAATTAAAGTCGCATTAATATTTCCACTCAGTACTTAAATCCTCAGGTCCTGGAGGATTTATTTCCTGTGGATTTTCTCAGCATGTATGCAGAGCGAGAGGACAGAGCGGGCAGCCATTGACCCCTAGGAAAAGTCACTTGGGCGAAAGGTCGTCCATCAAGAGGAAGGAAGAGCAGGAGTTGGAGCATGCGAGGGGCGATTCCGTAGTGGTGCTGCCGCCTTTGGCCAAGGAATCAGAGGAAGAGCTGACGCTGCTCGTGCTCCCATCCAGGATCTCCGAAGACAAACTGGGAAGAAGTAGGAAATAGCACGTGTTTTATTCAGGTAGACCTTGGATAAAAGGACGGGGCAACTGCCGTTTTGCAGAATGGCCCTTAAACAATATCCTGAAGGAGAATAATTGCCAGGGATGCCTGCAGTCCCAGACTGGAGAGTTAAATGGAGGGAGGGAGGAATATTACATGAAATATTATTTTATCTCGTAACTCGCGTCACTTGAGTGATTTTCATGCTTGCCACCTGAAAAGGATGCTGAGTTTGCCTTTTTTTTTTTATTCAGTCAAGAACTGACAGGAGGTGGGAAGAATCAGATGTGTCCCTTTTCAATCTAGACTTCTTTCCTGAATGTGACAGGCACAAACCCTGTCTTCATTTTATGCACCCGCAACTCACCTTTTCCTTTGCTCAAACAAGTTTGACTGAACGGCTTCTTAAGCATTTAATCCGTTCAGGAGCTCCAGCCGGTCACCTCGGCCTCACGGGGTGAATGGTTTCACTGCAAAAGGTTCGCACGTGAGGGAGACATTGAGACCCCAGCCCTGTGTGACCGACCGACCAGAATTAAGATTGGTTTTGTGATTTACAAGTCTGGCTTCTTCAACTGGCACCCCTAAACCTCCAGCTGTCTGATTCATTTTCTCCTTCCTGCTTGCTTGAGGAGGAGCCTAGTGGGAATCTAATACACCGTAACGGAGAGCAAAAAGGCAGGACTCCAAAGAAAGCCCACTCAACACTTTGCCCACACGGAGCCACTGACCAGCAGTAGCTTTTCAAAGGGTCAGACAAGAGCGTGTCCCAGTTCAGCCCGAGAAACGCCACGGACTGAATTTCAGAACTTCTGTCCTGGAAGCAAACATCTGACCAACACTTTGTAAGCCCTTCCTTAAATCTCAGACTCGCTTTGCTTGCTTGATCCATGAATTTCTTAGTACGGGTCATCGAAATTATGCACCCTGCATGAAACCGTGAGGAGCAGAGGTAACTTTTCTGCTGAAACAATTTACCATGAGCTGAGATCAGTCAGGTGGGTGACATCAGGAGAAAGCATGTTTGTGGTTCCTTGGAAAAGTCTCTTTGGCTGGCTTTCGGTTTCCATTTCACCTGTGGGAATCAAGCTGTTCTTATTAAATCTGAAAAGCAAGCTTTTTAAGAGAGGCAGTCGCGTCATCTACTTCGGACAGATATACTTTGCCGTGGGAGACAGAGGCAACCAGCGAACTAAAGAACGAAGCAAACTAAAGGAGTTGTGCGATGAACACATAAAGGGTGCCTTATTCTTGACATTTAGCAGGTAGGAGGTGTCCCTCTAAGTCTCCTCCTGAAAAATAAGCCGTGGCAAACTACCCGGAGTACATGTCTGTTTTTCAAAAGGAGAGAGGTTAACCCTCCCTTCTCTTCCAAAGAGATTCTCTTATAACTTCCAGCAACGTCCCCAGTTCATATGCCAATCTTTTGCAGGGCTTTTTCCCCTTCACCAAGCAGAAGAGGATAAATAAGGTTCTATTTTCTGCTTAGAAACACACACACACACACACACACACAGAGAGAGAGAGAGACACACACACACACAGAGACACCATCTCCCTCACTGAGCATTCTTGTTTTGTGTGATCCAAGACCAAGTTCCAAGACTTTTTCGGCTTCTTGCTGAGCAGATTTATAGAAGGCTGCTTTCGTAGCCATACTGGGGCCAGCTAGCAATCATGTAAAACAGCAGCAAAATTCAAGACTCTGTGTTTTTTTTTTTGTAGGAGAAATATACTACCACTCAGCCTCTACTCCAAGGCTGGTGGCCCTGAAGTCTCTCTTATTTTATAGCGCCGAAGGAATATGCATTCTCCTTAGAACGCAGAAGAATGAGACTCTTCCATCACGCAGAAATAGAGGGAGACCATTCTTAGCGCTCACAAATGCAACAGCCTGTATCCAAGAGCTTACCCAGACGTCTCTGTAAATTGAGATTACTCCTCCATGACCGATAAAAGATGCTCTCTCCCAAATACATAGCAATGACAAGTTGAGGGAAGATCCTTGTGCTGTCTAATACCTGATGTACTTGACAATATTCTGGAAGCATGACATACCTTTCCTTTTAACAGGACCAAGAACACTGGGCCTGATACAGTTGATTGGACTCTGACTCCTCCTGCTAAAATCAAAGTTGGAGAATTATCTTTCTAGGATGTTGAGGACTCTGAATATTGTTAAGGAAACACACCCCTGAATTATTTTAAAATCAGTGTCTGTTAAGATTATAATTATGCATTAGCTTCAGAAATAGACCATCCCTGCTTTCTGTCAGCTTTAAAAGCTAAGATAACCAAAGGATTCTGGGAGTTGTAGTACATTTGGAAGCAACCAATCTGGATAGGGACAAGATTTCTTGTAGAGGACATATAGAGGAGCCAAGAAAGAGTTTAAGATTAAGAGGCATTTAGTGTTTCTTAAATTTCACAAGCTAGATACCTGACTGAGGTTAATTCTTAAAAAAGCAAAGCTAGATTTTGCAGATTTCTACCTTCCTGGACTCTTATCTTACCCTATTCAGAAGCCTTTTAGAGATATGATGTGTAACGTTCATCATCTATTCCTGTCCTGTTAGTTCTACCTGCCAACTGCCTGAGAGACCAAAAAAACTAGCAGCAGTTTATGAACCATTTTGCAAGCTTTTCTGACAAGTGAGGCATCTACACATAATAATATTAAAATACTATATTTTATACTATCCCTACTTTATTTCAAGATCAACACTGTAGCAAGCACTCAATATATGGTTTAACAGTTCACTAGAGACAAAAGGCCAGAAAAACTGTGGCTGTTCTGAAAGATTCTGGCCTTTGGATAATCAACTAACCCAAGCTAATCTTCCTGTAGGCTACAGAAACTAAACAGGAGGTTTCAACAGAGACAGGTGTCCTTGTGAACTCGTAGTCACACTTAAGTCAGCAAGTTGTAGCTTTGTACAAAGAGTTGTTCAACTGCACTCGCTCTCATTTCAAGGAACGTCATGGTGGCTAAAAGCAAGTCCATGGAACGGAGGGCTAGGAGCTACAGATATAATCTGAGGATATCCACACAACCTCCGCAGAGGGAAGCATCCAGCCAGAATCCATTTTAAGACGTTCTCAATGCTTGGAGCATTGGCCAACGTTAGCTCCATTCTTGGGCGGATCCTTCTACAGGGACTATTACAGCAATGGAACTGTTATTTTTAAGAAGGCCTCGATACTTCAAACACATCGACTTACTTTGAAAATCTCCTCGTGGGACTAGGAATAGGGCTCGGAGGCAATCCATTGCTGCTCACAAACATTTGCAGAGAGGGTGAGAAGCATTGCTAGGAAGAAAAAGCAGAAGATTTCCATGGGATTGGAAAGGACAGAAATGAGAAATTCATCAGTGTGATCTGTGGACACGAGGGGAGGAGAAAGTCACACAAGCAGGACAGGGTGCTACGGGTGGCCTCAGGAATCAAGCGATTCTCGTTATTTCTGCTTCACCCACTGGGCAATTCAGACACCCTGTGGCCCCTACTCCAGATCTCTCTGACCTACCTTTCCTATACCTCTGGTGGGTGAAGGGGCTGGAGAAACAGGAATGAAGTCTATTCTCTTTGGAGAGGAAGATTTTTCAGATTTGTCCAAGTCGTTGTCGCTCTGGGAACACAAAAGCATCCCGCTTATGGCTTATGTGGAAGGTGGCAGCCAGAGAAGCTGAGCCGCTCTAAGGAAAAGCCAAGTGGCGAACCGGCCACTCCCCTTAAGCTACCTCTGCTCTTGCTCCTTGCATTCACTGGTTAAGTGAAGGAGTAGAATTAAAATATTAAACATCTGTAAAGAGATTACCAGGCTCAAGCTTTCTTCCCATGACTGGCTTATCTGCATTGCTGTTTGCACTTCCCTAAAACACAAAAAGGGTCATCAGTGCGACAGCAGGAGGAGAGAGGCTACTTCTAGAGAGCGTCTGAACCACACCTACCTTTCATGGGCTGCTTCTCTGTTCATCAGGTCCACTCCTTCCTCCTGAGGAATAGGAAGAATTAGCATCTTTTCTGCCTAAATTGACTGGCACTTTGTATCGGTGTCAAGAGTGAAAAGGAGCAACAGGGTCAGCTGAATCATAGTTTGTGTGTGAGAATATTCCTTCTATAGAGCACTGCCTGCTTGCACTCACAACGTTAAGTGTATCTGGCAGCTGCGTTTGCATCTAGACTGCAGGGCTCTCCAACCTTGGCAACTTTACAATTTGTGGACTTCAATTTCACCAGTTGAAGTCCACAAGTCCTAAAGTTGCCAAGGCTGGAGACGCCTGCAGTCTTTTGTGCTTTCACAAAAGAAAGCTCTAACAGTCAGGCCATTTTGAGTAAGTATGATGTTCAATTTAGGTTGCCAAAAATGTAGTCATGCCAGCTAGGTTTTGAAACAGTTAAAAAAGAATCTGCAGAGAAAGCCAAGATACGTTCTTTTTATGGAAGAAAGGAATCTGTTCTATTTACTTACCCTTCTGATTTGATGGAGTCGACTACTAGGGATACGGATTGGAGATGATGATATCAGCTGGAAAAAACACAATCATTTCAATAGTCAGCAAAAATAAAAAGCCCAAGCAAAACAAAACCTTCTTCAAGAGCATTATTTTCATGTTGGAGAAACATACTACTGCCCAGCCCGTGCTTCAAGGCAGGCAGCCCTGAAAGCTCCTCATGTTATAGCATTGAAGGAATACCCATTCTCCTTGGAAGAAGAATAACAGTTTCCCTCATGCAGAACCAGGCCAACACCCATATTCCAAAATGACCAGTGCATTACAAAGTAAAGCGTATTGATCTGTGTATTGTAACTATTTTGTAGTTAAAAATATGTATTTTAATAAAGCACAGTTGCAGAGTTAACTATATATTTTAAAATCGGGGGGAAGGGCATTTTTGATGCTGTTGAACCTAACCGAAACTACAAAAGAAATTGTACACTCTGGATTTTTCAGCCTTCGAGAAGGGCACCTGCTCAGGATGTAGCCGACAACTCCATTCTAGGTCCACTTCCCTCCTGGCCATGTGCCTTCAAGAGGTTGATGTGCTTGCCCATCCCGCGTTTCCCAGTGCATGTATGCGCACATTCACAAATACATCCACAGGCCGATTTCTCAGTCTCCAGGAAGACTGAGAGGTTGCTAGTCCCATGACAAAACCAGCCTGGTTTTTCAAAGCTGCTGCCTTGGCTTCATTCCCGCCCCTTCAGCTACCTAATTCCTCCCTCAGCAGCCCAGCAGCCTTCCAGGGGACTCCCATCTGCAAAACTGATCCTTGCATTATTTAGCTGCTGCCTCTTATGGGATCAAACCAAACCAGTCACCAAAGCTCGGCCTTCAGTATGATCTTCGCTTGCCTTGACACATGGGGGGGGGTCCTTCAGTTCCAATTACCTTCTCAATTTATAGGAGAAGCTAAAATCTTTTTGTGCCTCTCATGCACTCACCATGCTGTGTCGGTTCATAACTGTTGTGCTGTTCCTGCGTGTTCGTAAGACATAAGGCTGAAAAACCTGCGAATTATCACTGAAAGAAATAAAGAATTGTTACAACTCTACAATGGTTTTTCTCCCTTGCTTTTTCACAATTAATCTACCTTCCATCCTTCTCCAGTCCATAGCCTTTCTCTCCTACACACCTTAAGTGCTGTAAGAGACACTTGCCCTTTTGGCTAGAACTGTTCTGTAGGGTGCCATGTAAACTGCCACTGCCATGAATGTGTAGGTTATATTCCTGTCATTGCCTTCCCCTAACCCCTGAGCAGATACTCAAAGAGCTGGTTGGTTCCGTGGTTCTGCAGGGGGGGGGGGAAGAGAGATTCACATCTTGGTAACTTCCATTGCAAATCTGAACATTGGAACAATTTAGGTCACTCTGGCCGGGCAATTCTGGGAGGAATTGAAATCCACACCTCTCAAAGTTGCTGAGTTTGAGAAACACTGATCTAGGCCAACCTAGGCCATCTCAACATGCCCTATGATAATGAAACACTGGTTGCTTTAATTATACATTATCACCATCATCATCATTATTGGTTTTCGTCTTTTTCTCTTTTGCCACTTGCACTTCCTTTGGGGAGGTGCATTCAGGCGAGGCACGAAAAACGTTTCCTTGTGTGGTCACTGTAAATCCGCCTTTCCTAAGATTTCATTGCGTTGTTTTCGCTGCATTCATTGCACTGAATTCCCCGGGGCAGGTGTGCACGGAACGGGGGGGGGGGGGCGATGGCCACAAAAGCCTGGCAGCTGCCAAACGACAGGCTCATCTCCAGGTCAGCCTTCTCGGCACCCCTGCAGGCACTGGCAAGGCCGGGGCTCCCCTCGCGCTCTTCGTACGTGTTCTGGGGGGTCCCCCAAAACACCTTTTAAAACGTCTCCGTCTCGACAGGCCCAGCCCGCCCGAGCCTCCCCATTCAGGGCGGCCTGGCGACCGCTGGAAGAGACGCCCCTCCTGCCTCAACCCGGCACGGCTGGGCACCATGGGCCCTGTAGTCCGCTCAGCTGCCAAGAGGGCGGCCGGCTCAGCTTCCTCCGCCTGGACTGCAGGACCCATCCTGCCCGGCTCTGCCTCCTCTTCCTCGCTCGCTCCGGCGGCGGGGGCGGATGGGTCCGGCAGTCACCTGAGGCCGTGGATGAGCGGCGCGCTGTTGGAGCGCCTCAGGCCGCCGCCGTCGCCGCTCCCGGCCTGGGGCAGCTCCAGGTCCAGCTCCATCTTCTCGGCCTGGGCCATGGCGAGGACGGCGCTCAGCGAGGAGGAGGAAGGCCGCCTGCCCTGCTCCGGCTCATGCCCGGCGGGACGGCGGGGCGCGGCGGTGGCGGGGCCCGACGGAGGCCTCAGGCCGCCTCCCCCGGCCGCTCCGGCTACTGGCTCCGTGGGCGCGGGCGCAGGCCGGGGCGGTGCAGCGGGAGTCGGCAGCCTCGGCGCCGACGGCGCCCCATGCCGGGGGAATCACGGGACGGCATCAGCGCCCTGCCTCTTCGTGGCCGCGGCACGACCCGGCCCGCCCGGCAGCAATCTGAGGGAAGGCGGACAGGGGGGGGAGGAAGTGCGCGCGCCCGCCCGCGCCTGCGCGGTGACGGCGGTTGCCAAGGCGGTGGCAGTAGCGGTCGGGAAGGAGAGTAGGCCCCTCGGCACTCCTGCGCCTGCGCGACGGCCGCTCAATGCGGCTCAGGCGGGATCCTCGGCCTCGCCCCTCCTCTCCCTGCGGGGCGGGTGTGTAAAGAGAAAGAGACGAATCCGCTGTCGGCGTCACACTGACCCCGCCTTTTCCCTCCGCCGCGTTTGGCCGAGCCGCGAGGGGAGTCGCTGATTCGCTGCGCGGTGGGTTACTTTCTACCGACACTCCGCTCAGATGAGCCAATCGGCGGAGCGCTTTAAGCGGGAGCGTTCCGGGAACATTTTTTTCCCTGGTCTTTTTTTTTTTAAACTCTTTTTGGCCCGTTTTAGGTGACGGGTTCAAATCCTCCTTGCAGCGTTTTGGTCTTTAGCGCGGGTCTTTTTTCGTTTGAAACAATGCTGCGAGTCGAATGGCGTACTTGTCGTTTTTCGCGCTCGTCTGCGAAAGCGGTTCAGCTCAATAAAAGAAGGGCAGGTAGCCTACCTGAAAGGTGCGATGGCAAGAAAGGCTGGAGTCACACCCCGTCCGAAGTCGTGACCTCAGTGGCTTGGTTCACACATGTACAGCCTCACTTAGCAGGCTTCGCCTTCTCAAATCATTGCTAACAATCCGTGAGGAAGCCTGACAACGTTGATGAACAAACAATGCCTGCTGCAATGTGCTTAAGCGTGGCTGAGCTGTGGTTTGTCCTTTTGAAAAACTTTTATTGACAACTTAGAAGAATAAAATGGGGGAAAAGCACACGTGCAATTAAAAATCTTCAAGTTTATTTTGTTAGACAATAAAGAAAAATAGGATTAGCAAATCCTAATAAATAGGGAAAGGATTAGGGAAGAAACCCCAAGGAAAAAAGATAAGGGAAAACCCTTATAAATTGAAATGGTCAATCTCTGAATTACTAATAAGTGCCCTGTGCTGCTATAATAATGATCAATATAAAATGTTACTCTAAAATATCACAAAATCTCTGCTACAGTTGTACACAAATGCTTCATCCTTTGATGAAGTCTTTTCCAACATGGATGGATCTCACGTCCCCCAAAGCCATTCCTGAAGGTTTAGAAAGGAGAATTTGGCTTGTAAAATCTTCCCAACCGGGTCATTCTCTCTACCTGTGTCCTTTTAGGGACCTCCCACAGGAAGGTTGGTTAGTGGTATAAATTATTATAAATTATAAGTTATTTTGGTTAGTGCTTGAATTGGTGAGTTACCTCCTACCGCACAATGCTTTTGTTTCTTCTTGAGGTGATGGTTGTCTACAGATGGTGCCAAGAGGTGTTTTAAGCATTTTTTTAAAAAAAAAGATTTGTGCAACATTCAGCTCTAAACCATAATTTATAAGCTACAGTGGCTGGGCTTAGACTACACAAAATAAAAGTTAATTGTTATGGAGGCCCAGGGTGATACGGGAATATCACTTCTATTTAAGCCAAGAGAAACACAGCTTAGCATTGTTAAAGGTGGGTAAATTGACCTGGGAGAATACAGGGAAATAATGATGTACTTCTGCAATATACTATGTCTAAATAAACCATAATTACTAATCTAAGCAAGGCCTATTATATCTTGTCTCATGTGAACTGGGCCATCCTGTGAAACTGTAATACATTTCACTTGTTTGGGCATAGAATGTTGTGGAAAGCCAGCAATTATGTTCTTCTGCCACTATTTATGGATTAGTATGTTGTGCAAACTTGGCCCTTCCTTGCCAAATAAATAATCTGCTTGAGCTTCATCTGGACCTTTGTAAGACCTTTCCTTTTAAAAAGGTGCTAAATTGCATCCTTGAGTTATCATTTATTCCAGGTATAAGGCTATTTCATGTAAAGCAGCTGCCCCAAAGGGGCTTTTCCAAAAGGCAGGTGGGCTTTCTGGGTTTTTTTCCTTGAAAACGTTTCACTTCTCCTCCAAGGAGCTTTTTTGGTCTGAGAAGTGAAATATTTTCCAGGGGAAAAAAACCCCAAGAAAGTCCAGTTGCCTTTGGGGAAAAAAGCATCTTTGGGGCAACCATCACCTGGAGGATTGAGAATCTCCACATCTGTAAAGCAGCTGTCTAATCTAGAACCCCCCCATTTAAATCTAATTATTGTAAAGCCAGTGTACAAAATATATACATGTTGGGCTAGAGATAGACTATAACCTTTGTGAGAGGAAGACTGAGAAAATATGATTGGCCAAAGACTGTTTTTTGTGTTCACCATAGCAACAATGTTCCTCTCGGGGATTTCCCCAAGTCATCAAGAGAGACTTTTAGCTATCAACTGAAACAGTGCTGGAACATGTATCCCACAAGTGTACCCAATGGATTTGACCTGTTTCTTCCTAAAATGAAATCTCCAGTTGAACAATTGGAGAAGTTCCTGGACCTCCCTCAACTTCTTGAGTTGACAGAAGAACCTGGAAGGATTGAGATAACATGGAGGAACTGAAGACTGAGGTTTTAGAGCAAGAGAAAATGGACTTACTCCAGAAACTCCAAACCAGCCAAGATGATTTGAAGGCTTCTTTGCAAGGGAAAAAGATTCCCTGAAAATCTTGGTTGGGGACCTCCGGGCTGAGAGACTTTGAATAGTACCATGCATGGTCTGTAAAAGTCCATCGAGAAAATGGCTGCTGCAGTGAGTAATGAAGTACGTATATTTTTAATAACCCAAACTTAACAGTGGATGAGAAGAAAGGTAGGGGTAACTGATGCCTTCATGTTTCTCTGTTTGAGTGGCTGGAACTGGAACTGCAGGATCATGTGAGATCTACTGCTAAGTCATCCAAAGGTTGCTGTGAAATCTTACAGAAAGCAAAGGAGGCTCTCTCATCTAAGGCAGCTCAACCTCCAAAGGGTCAGGAAATGGTGGTTTCACCAACTGATGATCTGAATGAAAAGGTAAGAATATAGTACATAGATTTCCTCTTCAGAGTGGTAGAAATGATGAGGTTACAGTATTGTACAGTACAACTTGAAGATGGGTAGACTTCAACTCCCAGAATTTTCCAGGGGGAATCCTGGGAGTTGAAGTCCACCCATCTTCAAGTTGCCAAGGTTGAGAAGCCCTGCTGTAAAATGTCTTCACAGGAGGTCTTCTGCTCCAGTACTTGGAAAAAACTACTTTGACTTGAGTTGACTAAATTCAGCAGTGGATGCCCTCAACCATTCTACTTCTTGACCCTTTAGCTATTTTCTTGTGTCTCCCTCAGCCATAATGGGGTATGTTTGGTTCTGGTTTAATGTCATTTGCAAACCATTCCAGCTTGGCTTATTTTATGAATCATTGTCAGTTGTGGTTTAGTATGAAATGCAAAACTAGCCAGAAGTTCCTATGAAGTTGAACTTGTTCTTTGAGTACCCAACATCTAAAGAGTTTTCTAGCTTTGGTGATGATGTATGCTAAGTGAGACATGTAGACGGTGATCAATAAGTATAACAGCAAAATGAAACAACAAAATAACAGAGAGAGAGGGGGGGGGGAGAGAGAGAGAGAGAGAGAGAGAGAGAGAGAGAGAGAAAGAGAGAGAGACTTTATTGTTTAACACAAGCATCACATCTTCCAAGCATAACCCAGCTGCAACAGTTTGTACAATTCAAAACATAGTAGTCTTAAAGATAAAATACATAAAAATATCATCCAATATTTTAAATATAAAAAGTCACATTTTTATCATTGTAAAAATTACAAAAGCAGTGATAAAATACCATGATAGGTTAAGTAGTTCACTAATTTAAAATGATATTTTTGATAAAAAAAGGTGAGGTGTAAAAGAAACAACAGTTGTCATCAAAAGATTTTTCTCAGAAGAAAACGCAACTTCAGTGTTCAAATATATGAATATAAGTCATTTTTTTTACTGTGGGCACAACGGCACACATCAAAAATGAAATTTAGTTGCCCGCTCTCAAAGTGAAACACATACATGACACAAACCTAAATGTACTATATACAACATATATACAACATATGAATATCACAACAGGTATCTCTTGGTGAAGAGATGGTGATAAGAATGGATACATAAAGGATACATAAAAACAAGCAAAAGATAAAATATCTTGTCTACCATAAATATCACAACAACTGAACAACAGTAAATCAGGAGTAAAACATAGCTTTATTACAAAAAATACACGTCAGACATAATGTTACCAAGTCTGAATCCCATTTAGAGATATTTCAGAAACAAGATAAATGTGTGTGACAGAAGAAATCAAAATTATTGAGGTGACAGCCACATACAGTGTGTCATGATTATTTACCAGTCAAAACATAACTTACACATTTTAAACAACAGCCAAGGATAAAATTATTCCCAGGCGGAAAAATGGAAATCTTTTATCAATCACTGGCCACACAACTGGTCATTTAAAAGGCCAATGAGGTTTTCTTTCTGGTTCTAAGAACCATCACCATGGCTAAATTTATGCCAGGCAGAAAACTATAAAATCTATTACCAAGCACTGGCCACACTAGTAATTTAAAAGGGCCATTGAGATTTTATTTCTGGTTCTATGAACCATCACCATGGCTAAACCTATGCCAGGCAGAAAACTATAAAATCTATTATAAATCACCCGCACACTCAGCATTAAAAAGGGCCATTGAGATGTTTTCTGGTTCTAAAAACCAACATCATGCCTAAATAAAGCCAGGCAAGAGATCTACTCAGGGTTTCAATGACCACATCTAGAATTAAAAAGGGCCACACAGATTTATTTTCCAGTTTGAAGACCTAATGTCTCACCCTAGCAAAAAATCTAGTTATTAATTTATTGAGATGGCAATACCTCATAACAAAGTTCGACACCAGGTTTACTTTTGTTTCTAAGAGATCTGGCTGCTACTGACATTATTTTTCAGGGTATGAAGGTGGGAGGGAAGCAAATCCCTTCCAGTTTGAGACTCAGCTGGGGATCCTCAGGCACTGGAGGAAGCTTGTAGTTGAGCGCTGTCAACTCCTCCAGCCCTGGCTGCTCACTCAGGGACCAAAAAGGTCTCCCTTCCAGTGTGAGTCTCACAGAGTCTCTGCTCAGAGACTGAATGAGCCTGGTGCCTACTGACTCCTTTCTCATTCAGTGTGAGTTTCACAGGGTGGTAACTCAGGAACTGGAAGACCCCCATCAGGAGTGCCTTGGCATCACTTCTGCCTTGTGTGGGTATCTGGTGTGAGTCAAGATGGCTTCAGGAACAGTGCAGCTTTTCTCCCAAGAAATGCACTCCATCACCTGTGCTCCTGCCACAGGCGTTCTCCTCCAGTTTGAGACTCAATTGGGGATCCTCAGGGACTTGGAGAGGCTTCCAGCTGAGGGCTGTTGTCTCTTCCAGTGTGATTTGCCCTGGCTGCTCACTCAGGGACCGAAAGGGTCGCCCAGGGCGACCCCAGACAGTCTTCCAGTGTGAGTCTCACAGAGTGTCTCAGGGGCTGAATGAGCCTGGGAGCCGACTGACTGCCTTCTCATTCAGGATGAGTGTCCCAGAGTGATAACCCAGGGGCTGAAAGACCCCCCTCAGGAGTGGAATGGGATGTTTAGGAATGGGCCCTTGGCCACGCCTCCTTCGCCCCCTGCCACTCACCTCAGCCCATTTGCAGGTAGCTTTCCTCCTCTGCTGCCCTCCCCCAGCCAGTCACCACCACCAATGGGCCCTTGGCCCTCTGCCCTTCAGCCCGCCAATTCACCCAACACTCTTTGTCCCGGGCCTTTGGCTGAACGGGATAAGTAGCCCCCAGCCAATCAAGTGGCAGGCGAAGCCAAGGTGCTGCAAGGGCAGCATGCGATGGATGATTGCAGGGTCTGTGGGCTGTGCCTGTTCTGTAGATTTTGGGGCCTTGCAGCTGTCACCAGGACCAAAGGGAGGGGGAGTGGTGGCAGGAGTCACACCTACTGGGGCCACTGGGGGCAGTCAGACGAGTGTGTGTTAGGGGGGTCAGGGAACAAGGGGCGGGTGCCTCAAGGGGGCTTCACAGAGACTGCTTGGCTTGCAACTCAAACGAAAGAGGGGAGGCGGAACAAGGCCGGGGCAGGGTGCGTGCACAGGCAAACAGCAAGACCAGTGTGGCTTTTCCCTTGCTTCCCTCCCACGACGCTCGCAGTTCCATCAGCCCCCAGCCACTGCCGTTTCCTCGCGCGTCCCTCCCAAGACGCTCGCAGTTCCATCAGCCCCCCAGCCGCTGCCGTTTCCCCGCGCTTCCCTCCCAAGATGCAGTTCCATCAGCCCCCCAGCCCCTGCCGTTTGCCCACATTTCTCTCCCAAGACGCTCGCAGTTCCATCAGCCCCCCAGCCGCTGCCGTTTCCCCGCGCTTCCCTCCCAAGATGCAGTTCCATCAGCCCCCCAGCCGCTGCCGTTTGCCCACATTTCCCTCCCAAGACGCTCGCAGTTCCATCAGCCCCCCAGTCCCTGCCGTTTGCCCACATTTCCCTCCCAAGACGCTCGCAGTTCCATCAGCCCCCCAGCCGCTGCCGTTTCCCCGCGCTTCCCTCCCAAGATGCAGTTCCATCAGCCCCCCAGCCCCTGCCGTTTGCCCACATTTCTCTCCCAAGACGCTCGCAGTTCCATCAGCCCCCCAGCCGCTGCCGTTTCCCCGCGCTTCCCTCCCAAGATGCAGTTCCATCAGCCCCCCAGCCCTGCCGTTTGCCCGCGCTTTCCTCCCAAGACGCTCGCAGTTCCATCAGCCCCCCAGTCCCTGCCGTTTGCCCACATTTCCCTCCCAAGACGATCGCAGTTCCATCAGCCCCCCAGCCCTCGCCATTTGCCCTCCCTTCCCTCCCAAGGCGCAAGCAGTTCCATCAGCCCCCCAGCCGCTGCCGTTTGCCTGCGCTTCCCTTCCAAGACGCTCACAGTTCCATCAGCCCCCCCCCAGCCCTTGCTGTTCGCCTGCGCTTCCCTCCCACGCTAAATGCAATTGCAAAAGCCGCCCAATCCTCTGTTCACCTGTGCACCCTCCCCAGCCCGCCATTCCCTGCACTGGCCTTGGTCCTCCTTCCCTCTGTCGTTTGAGTTGCAAGCCAAGCAGTCTCTGTGAAGCCCCCTTGAAGCACCCGCCCCTCCCCCCCTGGTCCCCCAACACACACTTGCCTGATTGCCCACGCAATGGCCCCAGCAACTGTGACTCCTGCCCCCACTGCCCCTCCCTCCGGTCCTGGTGACAGAGTTGCAAGGGCCCAAAAGTTGCGTAGCAGCCTTAATGCACAGGCCCTGCGATCCCCCATTGCACGCTGCCCCCGCAGCACCATGGCTTTTTTCTGCTGCCCGATTGGCTGGGGGCTCCTTATCCCATGCAGCTAAATGCCCGGGACAAAGAGTGTCAGGTGAGTTGGCGGGCCGAAGGGCAGAGGGCCAAGGGCCCATTGGTCGTGGGTGACTGGCTGGGGGAGGGCAGCGGAGGATGAAAGCTGCCTGTAAATGGCTGAGGCGAGTGGCAGGGGGCGAAGCAGCCGTGGCCAAGGGCCCGTGCCTAAAGATCCCATTTCGCTCCTGAGGGGGGGGGTCTTTCAGCCCCTGAGTTACCACTCTGGGACACAAACCCTGAATGAGGAGGTGGCCATTCGGCTCCCAGGCTCATTTAGCCCCTGAGACACTCAGTGAGACTCACACTGGAAGACTCTCTGGGGTCGCCCTGAGAGACCCTTTCGGTCCCTGATTGAGCAGCCAGGGCAAATCACACTAGAGGAGATGACAGCTCCCGGCTGGAAGCCTCTCCCAGTCTCTGAGGATCCCCAGCTGAATCTCAAACTGGAGGAGAACCCCTGTGGCAGGAGCACAGGTGAGTTGATGGAGTGCCAAGGGTCCATGCCTAAACAGGAGGGTCAGATGTGTGCGCAGGTGGAATCAGGAATAGTGCATCTCTTTTGACTCACTTGTTTCACAGACTGCACTGAAAATGATCATCATTGGTCATGTGTGAAATTTGAAATTATCCACCAACAGCAACAGATAGCATTAAAATGTGTAGTGTGATGTGTTAATGAAAGTCTCTTACAGCTTCAGCAATTCTTCTAAAGGTCAGTTGTGATTGACTTGGTGAGGTAGCATTCTTGATGGAGATCATATTCATTCTTCCCTTCCATTCCTCCTCCTTCCATCGACGCTGCAGGCTGACGGCTGAGTCTTCTGTCTTCTAAGGTGGTGCAGAGCACAGGCCTTGTGATAAAAAAAAACTAACATTACTTCAGATGCCACTGGAGTTTTACTCCAAAGAATGCTCAGTACGCAGTGTTTACTATTATCACAGTTTCAGGTGTTATTTACCTAGGAAGGACCATCAGGTAGTGGAAAACATCCACCTCCCTCCATATCCTAAAACTTTGAAGAATACAAGACTCAGCTAAACTTACCTCACATCGTAGGAGGCCCCATCACAGCCGAAGGCTAACAGGGCTTTTGCTGGAGACATTTTCATGCTCTCTTCTTTCTTCTTTTGCTTTTGTTTCTTCCTCAGTCGTGCCCAGCAAGCCTTGTCTCTTTCGAGGAACTTTTGGCAGCAGGTGTGCTATTCTTCCTCTGCTCAATCTGCAAAGCTAGAAAACCCTAACCTCTTTTATAGATCAACGGCCACAGCTAACCTTAAAAAGGGCCGTTGAGGTTTGCTTTCTGCGTCTAAGAACCACCGCCATGGCTACGTTACGCCAGGCAGAAAACTATAAAATCTATTACCAAGCACTGGCCACACTGGTCATTTAAAAGGGCCAATGAGGTTTTATTTCTGGTTCTAAGAACCACCGCCATGGCTACATTATGCCAGGCAGAAAACTATAAAATCTATTACCAAGCACTGGCCACACACTGGACATTTAAAAGGGCCAATGAGGTTTTATTTCTGGTTCTAAGAACCCTCGCCATGGCTAAGTTACGCCAAGCAGAAAACTATAAAATCTATTACCAACCACTGGCCACACTGGTCATTTAAAAGGGCCAATGAGGTTTTATTTCTGGTTCTAAGAACCACCGCCATGGCTAAATGTAGAGCAGGCAAGAATGGTCTAAAATCTATTATCTAAAGGTCAGTTGTGATTGACTTGGTGAGGTAGCATTCTTGATGGAGATCATATTCATTCTTCCCTTCCATTCCTCCTCTTTCCATCGACGCTGCAGGCTGACGACTGAGTCTTCTGTCTTCTAAGGTGGTGCAGAGCACAGGCCTTGTGATAAAAAAAAACTAAGATTACTTCAGATGCTGTTGGAGTTTTACTCCAAAGAATGCTCAGTACGCAGTGTTTACTATTATCTCAGTTTCAGGTGTTATTTACCTAGGAAGGACCATCAGGTAGTGGAAAACATCCACCTCCCTCCATATCCTAAAACTTTGAAGAATACAAGACTCAGCTAAACTTACCTCACATCGTAGGAGGCCCCATCACAGCCGAAGGCTAACAGGGCTTTTGCTGGAGACATTTTCATGCTCTCTTCTTTCTTCTTTTGCTTTTGTTTCTTCCTCAGTCGTGCCCAGCAAGCCTTGTCTCTTTCGAGGAACTTTTGGCAGCAGGTGTGCTATTCTTCCTCTGCTCAATCTGCAAAGCTAGAAAACCCTAACCTCTTTTATAGATCAACGGCCACAGCTAACCTTAAAAAGGGCCGTTGAGGTTTGCTTTCTGCGTCTAAGAACCACCGCCATGGCTACGTTACGCCAGGCAGAAAACTATAAAATCTATTACCAAGCACTGGCCACACTGGTCATTTAAAAGGGCCAATGAGGTTTTATTTCTGGTTCTAAGAACCACCGCCATGGCTACATTATGCCAGGCAGAAAACTATAAAATCTATTACCAAGCACTGGCCACACACTGGACATTTAAAAGGGCCAATGAGGTTTTATTTCTGGTTCTAAGAACCCTCGCCATGGCTAAGTTACGCCAAGCAGAAAACTATAAAATCTATTACCAACCACTGGCCACACTGGTCAGTTAAAAGGGCCAATGAGGTTTTATTTCTGGTTCTAAGAACCACCGCCATGGCTAAATGTAGAGCAGGCAAGAATGGTCTAAAATCTATTATCTAAAGGTCAGTTGTGATTGACTTGGTGAGGTAGCATTCTTGATGGAGATCATATTCATTCTTCCCTTCCATTCCTCCTCTTTCCATCGACGCTGCAGGCTGACGACTGAGTCTTCTGTCTTCTACGGTGGTGCAGAGCACAGGCCTTGTGATAAAAAAAAACTAAGATTACTTCAGATGCTGTTGGAGTTTTACTCCAAAGAATGCTCAGTACGCAGTGTTTACTATTATCTCAGTTTCAGGTGTTATTTACCTAGGAAGGACCATCAGGTAGTGGAAAACATCCACCTCCCTCCATATCCTAAAACTTTGAAGAATACAAGACTCAGCTAAAATTACCTCACATCGTAGGAGGCCCCATCACAGCCGAAGGCTAACAGGGCTTTTGCTGGAGACATTTTCATGCTCTCTTCTTTCTTCTTTTGCTTTTGTTTCTTCCTCAGTCGTACCCAGCAAGCCTTGTCTCTTTCGAGGAGCTTTTGGCAGCAGGTGTGCTATTCTTCCTCTGCTCAATCTGCAAAGCTAGAAAACCCTAACCTCTTTTATAGATCAACGGCCACAGCTAACCTTAAAAAGGGCCGTTGAGGTTTGCTTTCTGGGTCTAAGAACCATCGTCATCGCTAAATTTACGCCAGGCAGAAAACTATAAAATCTATTACCAAGCACTGGCCACACACTGGACATTTAAAAGGGCCAATGAGGTTTTATTTCTGGTTCTAAGAACCCTCGCCATGGCTAAGTTATGCCAAGCAGGAAACTATAAAATCTATTACCAAGCACTGGCCACACACTGGACATTTAAAAGGGCCAATGAGGTTTTATTTCTGGTTCTAAGAACCCTCGCAATGGCTAAATTTACGCCAGGCAGAAAACTATAAAATCTATTACCAAGCACTGGCCACACACTGGACATTTAAAAGGGCCAATGAGGTTTTATTTCTGGTTCTAAGAACCACCGCCATGGCTGAGTTACGCCAGGCAAAAAACTATAAAATCTATTATCGATCAACAGCCACGCGTAGGATTAAACAGGGCCATTGAGGAGGTTTTTTTGGTTCTAATAACCATCGCCATGGCTAAACGTACAGCAGGCAAGAATGGTCTCAATCTATTATCTAAAGTCAGTTGTGATTGACTTGGTGAGGTAGCATTCTTGATGGAGAGCATATTCATTCTTGCCTTCCATTCCTCCTTCTTCTATTGACGCTGCAGGCTGACGACTGAGTCTTCTGTCTTCTAAGGTGGTGCAGAGCACAGGCCTTTGTGATAAAAAAAAAACTAACATTACTTCAGATGCCGTTGGAGTTTTACTCCAAAGAATGCTCAGTACGCAGTGTTTACTATTATCTCAGTTTCAGGTGTTATTTACCTAGGAAGGACCATCAGGTAGGAGGCCACATCACAGCTGAAGGCTAACAGGGCTTGAGCTGGAGACATTTTCATGCTCTCTTTTTTCTTCTTTTGCTTTTGTTTCTTCCTCAGTCGTGCCCAGCAAGCCTTGTCTCTTTCGAGGAGCTTTTGGCAGCAGGTGTGCTATTCTTCCTCTGCTCAATCTGCAAAGCTAGAAAACCCTAACCTCTTTTATAAATCAACGGCCACAGCTAACCTTAAAAAGGGCCATTGAGGTTTGCTTTCTGGGTCTAAGAACCATCGCCATGGCTAAATTTACGCCAGGCAGAAAACTATAAAATCTATTACCAAGCACTGGCCACACACTGGACATTTAAAAGGGCCAATGAGGTTTTATTTCTGGTTCTAAGAACCACCGCCATGGCTAAGTTACGCCAAGCAGAAAACTATAAAATCTATTACCAAGCACTGGCCACACACTGGACATTTAAAAGGGCCAATGAGGTTTTATTTCTGGTTCTAAGAACCACCGCCATGGCTACGTTATGCCAGGCAGAAAACTATAAAATCTATTACCAAGCACTGGCAACACTGGTCATTTAAAAGGGCCAATGAGGTTTTATTTCTGGTTCTAAGAACCACCGCCATGGCTACATTATGCCAGGCAGAAAACTATAAAATATATTACCAAGCACTGGCCACACACTGGACATTTAAAAGGGCCAATGAGGTTTTATTTCTGGTTCTAAGAACCCTCGCCATGGCTAAGTTACGCCAAGCAGAAAACTATAAAATCTATTACCAAGCACTGGCCACATTGGTCATTTAAAAGGGCCAATGAGGTTTTATTTCTGGTTCTAAGAACCACCGCCATGGCTAAATGTAGAGCAGGCAAGAATGGTCTAAAATCTATTATCCAAAGGTCAGTTGTGATTGACTTGGTGAGGTAGCATTCTTGATGGAGATCATATTCATTCTTCCCTTCCATTCCTCCTCTTTCCATCGACGCTGCAGGCTGACGACTGAGTCTTCTGTCTTCTAAGGTGGTGCAGAGCACAGGCCTTGTGATAAAAAAAAACTAAGATTACTTCAGTTGCCGTTGGAGTTTTACTCCAAAGAATGCTCAGTACACAGTATTTACTATTATCTCAGTTTCAGGTGTTATTTACTTAGGAAGGACCATCAGGTAGTGGAAAACATCCACCTCCCTCCATATCCTAAAACTTTGAAGAATACAAGACTCAGCTAAAATTACCTCACATCGTAGGAGGCCCCATCACAGCCGAAGGCTAACAGGGCTTTTGCTGGAGACATTTTCATGCTCTCTTCTTTCTTCTTTTGCTTTTGTTTCTTCCTCAGTCATGCCCAGCAAGCCTTGTCTCTTTCGAGGAGCTTTTGGCAGCAGGTGTGCTATTCTTCCTCTGCTCAATCTGCAAAGCTAGAAAACCCTAACCTCTTTTATAGATCAACGGCCACAGCTAACCTTAAAAAGGGCCGTTGAGGTTTGCTTTCTGCGTCTAAGAACCATCGTCATTGCTAAATTTACGCCAAGCAGGAAACTATAAAATCTATTACCAAGCACTGGCCACACACTGGACATTTAAAAGGGCCAATGAGGTTTTATTTCTGGTTCTAAGAACCCTCGCAATGGCTAAATTTACGCCAGGCAGAAAACTATAAAATCTATTACCAAGCACTGGCCACAGTGGTCATTTAAAAGGGCCATTGAGGTTTGCTTTCTGGTTCTAAGAACCACCGCCATGACTAAATTTACGCCAGGCAGAAAACTATAAAATCTATTATCGATCAACAGCCACGCGTAGGATTAAACAGGGCCATTGAGGAGGTTTTTTTGGTTCTAATAACCATCGCCATGGCTAAACATACAGCAGGCAAGAATAGTCTCAATCTATTATCTAAAGTCAGTTGTGATTGACTTGGTGAGGTAGCATTCTTGATGGAGAGCATATTCATTCTTGCCTTCCATTCCTCCTTCTTCTATTGACGCTGCAGGCTGACGACTGAGTCTTCTGTCTTCTAAGGTGGTGCAGAGCACAGGCCTTTGTGATAAAAAAAAACTAACATTACTTCAGATGCCATTGGAGTTTTACTCCAAAGAATGCTCAGTACGCAGTGTTTACTATTATCTCAGTTTCAGGTGTTATTTACCTAGGAAGGACCATCAGGTAGGAGGCCACATCACAGCTGAAGGCTAACAGGGCTTGAGCTGGAGACATTTTCATGCTCTCTTTTTTCTTCTTTTGCTTTTGTTTCTTCCTCAGTCGTGCCCAGCAAGCCTTGTTTCTTTCGAGGAGCTTTTGGCAGCAGGTGTGCTATTCTTCCTCTGCTCAATCTGCAAAGCTAGAAAATCCTAACCTCTTTTATAGATCAACGGCCACATCTAACCTTAAAAAGGGCCATTGAGGTTTGCTTTCTGGGTCTAAGAACCATCGCCATGGCTAAATTTACGCCAGGCAGAAAACTATAAAATCTATTACCAAGCACTGGCCACACACTGGACATTTAAAAGGGCCAATGAGGTTTTATTTTGGTTCTAAGAACCACCGCCATGGCTGAGTTACGCCAGGCAGAAAACTATAAAATCTATTACCAAGCACTGGCCACACACTGGACATTTAAAAGGGCCAATGAGGTTTTATTTCTGGTTCTAAGAACCACCGCCATGGCTAAGTTACGCCAGGCAGAAAACTATAAAATCTATTACCAAGCACTGGCCACACTGGTCATTTAAAAGGGCCAATGAGGTTTTATTTCTGGTTCTAAGAACCACCGCCATGGCTACATTATGCCAGGCAGAAAACTATAAAATCTATTACCAAGCACTGACCACAGTGGTCATTTAAAAGGGCCAATGAGGTTTGCTTTCTGGTTCTAAGAACCACCGCCATGGCTAAATTTACGCCAGGCAGAAAACTATAAAATCTATTATCGATCAACAGCCACGCGTAGGATTAAACAGGGCCATTGAGGAGGTTTTTTTGGTTCTAATAACCATCGCCATGGCTAAACGTACAGCAGGCAAGAATGGTCTCAATCTATTATCTAAAGTCAGTTGTGATTGACTTGGTGAGGTAGCATTCTTGATGGATAGCATATTCATTCTTGCCTTCCATTCCTCCTTCTTCCATTGACTCTTCAGGCTGACGACTGAGTCTTCTGTCTTCTAAGGTGGTGCAGAGCACAGGCCTTTGTGATAAAAAAAAACTAACATTACTTCAGATGCCACTGGAGTTTTACTCCTAAGAATGCTCAGTACGCAGTGTTTACTATTATCACAGTTTCAGGTGTTATTTTCCTAGGAAGGACCATCAGGTAGTGGAAAACATCCACCTCCCTCCATATCCTAAAACTTTGAAGAATACAAGACTCAGCTAAACTTACCTCACATCATAGGAGGCCACATCACAGCCGAAGGCTAACAGGACTTGAGCTGGAGACATTTTCATGCTCTATTCTTTCTTCTTTTGCTTTTGTTTCTTCCTCAGTCGTGCCCAGCAAGCCTTGTCTCTTTCGAGGAACTTTTGGCACCAGGTGTGCTATTCTTCCTCCGCTCAGTCTGCAAAGCTAGAAAACCCTAACCTCTTTTATAGATCAACGGCCACAGCTAACCTTAAAAAGGGCCGTTGAGGTTTGCTTTCTGGGTCTAAGAACCATCGTCATCGCTAAATTTACGCCAGGCAGAAAACTATAAAATCTATTACCACGCACTGGCCACACACTGGACATTTAAAAGGGCCAATGAGGTTTTATTTCTGGTTCTAAGAACCCTCGCCATGGCTAGGTTACGCCAAGCAGAAAACTATAAAATCTATTACCAAGCACTGGCCACACACTGGACATTTAAAAGGGCCAATGAGGTTTTATTTCTGGTTCTAAGAACCCTCGCCATGGCTAAATTTACACCAGGCAGAAAACTATAAAATCTATTACCAAGCACTGGCCACACTGGTCATTTAAAAGGGCCAATGAGATTTTATTTCTGGTTCTAAGAACCACCGCCATGGCTACATTATGCCAGGCAGAAAACTATAAAATCTATTACCAAGCACTGACCACAGTGGTCATTTAAAAGGGCCAATGAGGTTTGCTTTCTGGTTCTAAGAACCACCGCCATGGCTAAATTTACGCCAGGCAGAAAACTATAAAATCTATTATCGATCAACAGCCACGCGTAGGATTAAACAGGGCCATTGAGGAGGTTTTTTTGGTTCTAATAACCATCGCCATGGCTAAACGTACAGCAGGCAAGAATGGTCTCAATCTATTATCTAAAGTCAGTTGTGATTGACTTGGTGAGGTAGCATTCTTGATGGAGAGCATATCCATTCTTGCCTTCCATTCCTCCTTCTTCCATTGACTCTGCAGGCTGACGACTGAGTCTTCTGTCTTCTAAGGTGGTGCAGAGCACAGGCCTTTGTGATAAAAAAAAACTAACATTACTTCAGATGCCACTGGAGTTTTACTCCTAAGAATGCTCAGTACGCAGTGTTTACTATTATCACAGTTTCAGGTGTTATTTTCCTAGGAAGGACCATCAGGTAGTGGAAAACATCCACCTCCCTCCATATCCTAAAACTTTGAAGAATACAAGACTCAGCTAAACGTACCTCACATCATAGGAGGCCACATCACAGCCGAAGGCTAACAGGACTTGAGCTGGAGACATTTTCATGCTCTATTCTTTCTTCTTTTGCTTTTGTTTCTTCCTCAGTCGTGCCCAGCAAGCCTTGTCTCTTTCGAGGAACTTTTGGCACCAGGTGTGCTATTCTTCCTCCGCTCAGTCTGCAAAGCTAGAAAACCCTAACCTCTTTTATAGATCAACGGCCACAGCTAACCTTAAAAAGGGCCGTTGAGGTTTGCTTTCTGGGTCTAAGAACCATCGTCATCGCTAAATTTACGCCAGGCAGAAAACTATAAAATCTATTACCACGCACTGGCCACACACTGGACATTTAAAAGGGCCAATGAGGTTTTATTTCTGGTTCTAAGAACCCTCGCCATGGCTAGGTTACGCCAAGCAGAAAACTATAAAATCTATTACCAAGCCCTGGCCACACACTGGACATTTAAAAGGGCCAATGAGGTTTTATTTCTGGTCCTAAGAACCCTCGCCATGGCTAAATTTACACCAGGCAGAAAACTATAAAATCTATTACCAAGCACTGGCCACACACTGGACATTTAAAGGGGCCAATGAGGTTTTATTTCTGGTTCTAAGAACCATCGCCATGGCTAAGTTACGCCAAGCAGAAAACTATAAAATCTATTACCAAGCACTGGCCTCACTGGTCATTTAAAAGGGCCAATGAGGTTTTATTTCTGGTTCTAAGAACCCTCGCCATGGCTAGGTTACGCCAAGCAGAAAACTATAAAATCTATTACCAAGCACTGGCCACACACTGGACATTTAAAAGGGCCAATGAGGTTTTATTTCTGGTTCTAAGAACCCTCGCCATGGCTAAATTTACACCAGGCAGAAAACTATAAAATCTATTACCAAGCACTGGCCACACACTGGACATTTAAAGGGGCCAATGAGGTTTTATTTCTGGTTCTAAGAACCATCGCCATGGCTAAGTTACGCCAAGCAGAAAACTATAAAATCTATTACCAAGCACTGGCCTCACTGGTCATTTAAAAGGGCCAGTGAGGTTTTATTTCTGATTCTAATAACCACCACCATGGCTAAATTTATGCCAGGCAGAAAACTATAAAAACTATTATCGATCAACAGCCACGCGTAGGATTAAAAAGGGCCATTGAGGAGTTTTTTTGGTTCTAATAACCATCGCCATGGCTAAACGTACAGCAAGCAAGAATGGTCTAAAATCTATTATCTAAAGGTCAGTTGTGATTGACTTGGTGAGGTAGCATTCTTGATGGAGATCATATTCATTATTCCCTTCCATTCCTCCTCTTGCCATCGACGCTGCAGGCTGACGGCTGAGTCTTCTGTCTTCTAAGGTGGTGCAGAGCACAGGCCTTTGTGATAAAAAAAAACTAACATTACTTCAGATGCCGTTGGAGTTTTACTCCAAAGAATGCTCAGTACGCAGTGTTTACTATTATCTCAGTTTCAGGTGTTATTTACCTAGGAAGGACCATCAGGTAGTGGAAAACATCCACCTCCCTCCATATCCTAAAACTTTGAAGAATACAAGACTCAGCTAAACTTACCTCACATCGTAGGAGGCCCCATCACAGCCGAAGGCTAACAGGGCTTTTGCTGGAGACATTTTCATGCTCTCTTCTTTCTTCTTTTGCTTTTGTTTCTTCCTCAGTCGTGTCCATCAAGCCTTGTCTCTTTCGAGCTTTTGGCAGCAGGTGTGCTATTCTTCCTCCGCTCAGTCTGCAAAGCTAGAAAACCCTAACCTCTTTTATAGATCAACGGCCACAGCTAACCTGAAAAAGGGCTGTTGAGGTTTGCTTTCTGGGTCTAAGAACCATCGTCATCGCTAAATTTACGCCAGGCAGAAAACTATAAAATCTATTACCAAGCACTGGCCACACACTGGACATTTAAAAGGGCCAATGAGGTTTTATTTCTGGTTCTAAGAACCCTCGCCATGGCTAAATTTACGCCAGGCAGAAAACTATAAAATCTATTACCAAGCACTGGCCACACACTGGACATTTAAAAGGGCCAATGAGGTTTTATTTCTGGTTCTAAGAACCCTCGCCATGGCTAAATTTACGCCAGGCAGAAAACTATAAAATCTATTACCAAGCACTGGCCACACACTGGACATTTAAAGGGGCCAATGAGGTTTTATTTCTGGTTCTAAGAACCATCGCCATGGCTAAGTTACGCCAAGCAGAAAACTATAAAATCTATTACCAAGCACTGGCCTCACTGGTCATTTAAAAGGGCCAGTCAGGTTTTATTTCTGGTTCTAAGAACCACCACCATGGCTAAATTTATGCCAGGCAGAAAACTATAAAAACTATTATTGATTAACAGCCACGCGTAGGATTAAAAAGGGCCATTGAGGAGTTTTTTTGGTTCTAATAACCATCGCCATGGCTAAATGTACAGCAGGCAAGAATGGTCTAAAATCTATTATCTAAAGTCAGTTGTGATTGACTTGGTGAGGTAGCATTCTTGATGGAGAGCATATTCATTCTTGCCTTCTATTCCTCCTTCTTCTATTGACGCTGCAGGCTGACGACTGAGTCTTCTGTCTTCTAAGGTGGTGCAGAGTACAGGCCTTTGTGATAAAAAAAAACTAACATTACTTCAGATGCCACTGGAGTTTTACTCCTAAGAATGCTCAGTACACAGTGTTTACTATTATCACAGTTTCAGGTGTTATTTTCCTAGGAAGGACCATCAGGTAGTGGAAAACATCCACCTCCCTCCATATCCTAAAACTTTGAAGAATACAAGACTCAGCTAAACTTACCTCACATCGTAGGAGGCCCCATCACAGCCGAAGGCTAACAGGGCTTGAGCTGGAGACATTTTCATGCTCTATTCTTTCTTCTTTTGCTTTTGTTTCTTCCTCAGTCGTGCCCAGCAAGCCTTGTGTCTTTCGAGGAACTTTTGGCAGCAGGTGTGCAATTCTTCCTCCGCTCAGTCTGCAAAGCTAGAAAACCCTAAACTCTTTTATAGATCAACGGCCACAGCTAACCTTAAAATAGGCTGTTGAGGTTTGCTTTCTGGGTCTAAGAACCATCGCCATGGCTAAATTTACGCCAGACAGAAAACTATAAAATCTATTACCAAGCACTGGCTACACACTGGACATTTAAAAGGGCCAATGAGGTTTTATTTCTTGTGCTAAGAACTATCGCCATGGGTAAATTTACGCCAAGCTGAAAACTATAAAATCTATTACCAAGCACTGGCCACACTGGTCATTTAAAAAGGCCAATGAGGTTTTCTTTCTTGTGCTAAGAACCACCGCCATGGCTAAATTTACGCCAGGCAGAAAACTATAAAATCTATTACCAAGCACTGGCACACACTGGTTATTTAAAAGGGCCAATGAGGTTTTCTTTCTGGTTCTAAGAACCATCACCATGGCTAAAATAATGCCATGCAGAAAACTATAAAATCTATAATTAATCACTGGCCACACTGGTCATTTAAATGGGCCATTAAGGTTTTCTTTCCGGTTCTAAGAACCATGACCATGGCTAAAATTATGCTAGGGAAGAAAGGTATGAAATCTAATATTAATCATAATACCAGGTAGCGGCCAGAATATATAATGAAAACTCTTTAATTTCACAACAAATTCAAAGACCTAACCATAGTTCCAGTTGGGAAACTGACTATCCTAGACCAGGGGTAGGCAATCTTGGCTCTTTTATGAGTTGTGGACTTCAACTCCCCAAATTCCTGAGCCAGCCATTCTGGCTCAGGAATTCTGGGAGTTGAAGTCCACGAGTCATAAAAGAGCCAAGATTGCCTACCCCTGTCCTAGACCAAGCAATGTCCAAAAACACTAATAAATTCTAGGAGCCTGTCCCTCTGACAAATTAGCCATCAATAGACAGACAGAAACAATATGTACCCACTTTGCAAAAAAGACAACACCTCTTCACCAGCAATCCACACTGAAATATGCGTAGATTAACACTATGATTAAGATCAGACCAACAATCAAGAAGTAAACAATGTCCTAATCAAGGAACTGCCAAAGAAGCTAACAACAAATAGTGCAACAAAGAACCTCCAAGACCATTTTTTTAAAAAACTGCTAAAGCAAGCCTTAGGGCAGTGATGGCGAACCTTTTAGATCTTTTAGAGTGTCCAAAAGCTGCCCTGCCCCAGCTCTCGCCTGCCCGCCTCCCCATCCCGCTCTGCCATCCCGCAGGGCCACCTACCGCCTCCATGGCCCGTCGCAGATCTCCCAGGTGATCCTGCAGTGCCATGGCAGCCACGCCTTCTGCCTGCACCGCACAGCATCATCTGCATGCGACAGGGTGCGAGGGCGGAGTCTTGTCCCCACTGCCCGGCTGCCATGTCCTTGGCTGGGCTGCTACACACGGGCCATGCCCAGGGGTGATTCTCCTCCGGGGGTCTGCTGGTAAAGAGGGGGTCACAGGTGGAGGTGGGGCTGGGGCGATGGCGCGTGTGCCCATAGAGAGGGCTCAGAGTGTCACCTCTGTCCCACGTGCCATAGGTTCGTCACCACTGCCTTAGGGAAAACTTCAGAAAGGCCTCAACAGTACTGGCCAGGCTTCCTCACTTTCATGATACACCGAAGAGTGAATTAAACCATCTGTCTTACTGTTGATGTCTTCTTCTTCGTCTACGGGTCATTTTGGATTCGTGCCTTTGAAAGTCAACATTACTTCAGTTGGAACTGGGGTTTTACTCCTAAGAATGCACAATACACAGTGGTTACTATTACCCCAGACACAGGGGTTACCCTTGCTTAACTAGGCATAATTAGTGGAAGACCATCCACCTCCCTCCATATCCTAAAGCAGGGGTCTCCTAATCTGGCTCTTTTATGACTTGTGAACTTCAACTCCCAGCATGCTGGCTGAGGAATTCTGGGAGTTGAAGTCCACAAGTCATAAAAGGGCCAGGTTTGGAGACCCCTGTCCTAAAGCTTTAAAGAATATAAGACTCAACTAAACATACCTCTCAGCGTACAGGGTGCCATCACAGCCGAAGACTAAGAGGGCTTGCGCTGGAGACATTTTCTTGCTCTTTTTTTCTTCTTTTTTCTTCTTTCTCCTTTGTTTCTTCCTCAGTCGTGCCCGGCAACGTTGTCTCTTTCGAAGAATATTCGGCAGAAGAATGCACTTCCTCTGCTCAGTCTGCAAAGCTAGAAAACTATAACATCTTTTAAAGATCAATGGCCAACCTAACATTAAAAAGGGCCATTGATGTTTTCTTTTTGGTTCTATGAACCATTGCCAAGGCTAAATTTCCAGACCAACAATGAAGAAGTAAACAATACCCTAATCAAGGAGCTGCCAAAGAAGCTAACAACACATAGCGCAACAAAGAACCTCCAAGACTATTTTCGCCAACACTGAAAGGAGCCACTAGAACAATGATGGTGAACCTTTTAGAGACCGAGTGCCCAAAAACTGGCCCTGCCCCCGCTCCACCCCTCCACCCCACACGGGTGGAAGCCACGCCCACCCCATTGCCGGCAAGGGCAAAACCAGCCCGATACGTTGCATGACATCGCATGATGTCACGAGTTTGGACATGCTTGGTCTACAAGAAAACCGCCAAGCTCAGAGAGCACCAAAGACACCTCATTTCAACTGTTAACTACAAACATTCTTCTTTATTGGTATTCCTCTATTAAATTGCATCACCAGGTTTACTTTTGCTTCTAAGAAGTCTGGCTGGTATTGGCATTATTTCCAAGGATGTGAAGGTGGGAGGGAGGTGATCCCAAAGGATTCCCTTCAGGCTTGAGTCTCACTGAGGGAGTCCTCAGGAACAGGAGGAGGCTGGTATCTGTCTGATTCTAAGATCCACAGCCAATAGCTAAAATTGTCTTGGGTCAGAAATTTTTTTGCTACTTTTTAGACATGTTTGTCACACTTATGACTGCTCTTTTTACCCTTGATACTTAGTAATGTTTTAAAAAAAACTTTGCTAAAGCAAGTCTTAAGATAAACTTTAGCAAGACCCAAAGATTTTTGCAGTAGTTAACATGTTGCAAACAGTACTTGCCAGGCTTCCTCACTTTCATAATACACTGGAGAGTGAATTAAACCATCTGTCTTACTGTTGATGTCTTCTTCTTCGTCTACATGGATTCATGCCTTTGAAATAAAAAAAATCAACATCACCAAATGACCAGTGGATGTTCAGAGGTTAGAAAAGCAATCAGTCAAAGGGTTTTTATGTGATTTATCCTACTTGTGAAAGAAGGCAAGATACGACTTGTAACATTGTTCCCTTAAGCCACTAGCCTGTTTTCTACATGTTTTGCTTCTTTTAAGGCAGAGGTCTTCAAACTTGGCGCTTTTATGACTTGTGGATTGGCACGCTGGCTGAGGAATTCTGGGAGTTGAAGTCCAGAAGTCATAAAAGGGCCATGTTTGAAGACCCCTGGACTTCAACTCCCAGAATTCCTGAGCCAGCCATGTTGAGGGGAAAGGGAAGTTTCCAAGCTGAGCCATGCTGGCTCAGGAATTCTGGGAGTTGAAGTCCACAAGTCATAAAAGAGCTAAGGTTGCCTACCCCTGGTATAGGGTTTCCTGCCTGAACAGGGGGTTGGACTAGATGACCTCTAAGGTCCCTTCCAACTTTATTATTGTTGTTATTATTATTATTATTATTATTATTATTATATTTTGCTTCTTTTAGGGGCTTGTGCCTTGACTAAAATTATCTCAGATTCCAAAAAAATCACTTTATTCCTGAGAGCAAAGTCAGTTCCTGAGATAATTTTACCTTTAAAGCTAATTTTAACTCCTATTCACCTTTGCTGGTTTGGTCCCTTTAAAAAGGACATGGCTGAGATAACCTCAGGTTCCACCAAAATTTTATTCTAAGAACTTGAATTCTTGGCTAAAATTACCCCAAGAATTCACTTTATTCCTAAGAGGAAAGTCGGTTCCTGAGATAATTTT